AAATTAAAACACAATATGCAAAATATCAATTACATTGCATAATTTTATGTATATACTGAAATTGACTCTATGATTGGGTTTAATGAATTATTTATATCTATTTGAAAAAGTGATAATTATAAATACTGAAATGAAAAATAGCTTAAAAACATAAAATAGAATGACATGAATTGATCTATAACAAAAATCAACTATTTCTTAAAATAATAATAGTGAGGCAACAATGTCTATAACGTATAAATGATATATAAAATGAAAAGTTTAGACATATTAAACTAAAATAATTATATTAGAGATTTAATCTCCAATTAGGGTAATTACCATAAAAAAATCGAATTCAAAGATATTTGGTTAATAGTATTACAAGTATAATGAATTTAAACCATTCTATTAGACACCAATAATGAAAACCAAATTTGAATTAGTAATCTCTAATTACAAAGTTTAATAGATAAAAATAAGTTATTATTATGTGTCTGTTAAGTACTAGTAAAATTTATTCAAAATTTAGAAATTAGTGTGATACATTGCATGAAAATAATAAATTTTTATACTGTTAATGAAGTTTTAAATGTTTAAAATAATAGAGACATAATGGAACTTTACCTATATAAATATAAAAGTAGTGATGCTTTCAACAAAAAGAATTAAGATTCTCTTGTAAATATTTATAAATAAGATACGCACATGACTATAATAGTGCTAAAAGCGTTATAAATCTCTGACAAAATAATAAATAAATATTATGTGTGTTATATATTCAATTATAATAATAGAAGTTGATGTTTAATCTACAGACATCATAAACTTTGTTAGAATTCTAAGATATATATATGCTAATTGAATATTTAAATCTGTTAGGCAAAAAGCCCTAATCTAAATCACGTCAATAAAAGCATAATCAAATAATCAATCAATTACATAAGAGATAATAATTTAACGTAGTTCAGTATAATTGACCTGCGTCAACGGATAAGAAACAATATTCACTAGTTGTAGATAATTATAAACATATATTAAAATATATCAATCACTCAACAATTAATACTCATAGATCATTTCAATCTTTTATAGTCCTATGAAGTATTATTAACTAAAACAAATACATACTCATATGCACTTTTTTAACACAGCTAAACATATACTCATATACACCCATGCATCATATCTATGTAGACTATCACAATCTCTTATAATCCATTCACAAACAAATATACACACCTATAAGACGTAAATATCTAGTAGTCTTATGGGGTGTCTACCTATAAAATCCTACAACTCTCTTGTATATTTTTTATACATAATCCTGAAAAGACTTTACCTATTTATAACCATACAAACATGTCTATTAAGAATCATTTTCTTTTTAGAATACTTGTTCTGCAAGTTTTATTATCCATCAAGTAATATCTAATAAATCTCAAATAAATCTCTTATAGGATTTAAGTCACTATTCTTAATAATCTTCATCTTGACTCAAATTTCATAAAATCATATGTTTTCATGCTAGATATACTTTGCTCTACCTGCAATGAAAATGTCACAATCATATTTTCTTATATGTTTTTATGCTTCATGCAAATCTATCTATCAAAGTATAAACTTAAACTCTTCTATTGAATCAAGCTTTTCTAGGCTTGCCTTTTCTTCCCATGGCTCGAACCAAAAGCTTTTTTCACATTTTGAACCTTCAGCTTTGATACCACTTGTTAGTTAAATCTAATCATGCTAGCAGAAGCAAAATTAAATAATCAATCAATCACATAAGAGATAATAATTTAACGTGGTTCGATCTAACTAACTTATGTCAACGGATGATAAATAAGATCCACTAGTTTTAAAAAATTACAAACATACATCAAAACATATCAACCACTAAATAATCAATATCCATAGACCCTTTCAATCTCCTATAATCATATGAAATATTCTCAACCCAAACAAACACATACCTACGTGCATCATTTAAACACAACCAAATACATACTCGTATGTACAAATACTTCATATCTATGTGGATTATCTCAGTCTCCTCTAGTCCACTCACAAACAAATACACACACCCATAAGATGTAAATATTCAATAGTTTTATGGGGTGTCTACCCATAAAACCTTATAACTCTTTTATTTGTATTTTTTATACCTAATGCTACAAATACTTTATCTATTTATAACCATACAAACTTACTTCGAATTTTTTTTTATTATTCATTTGCAAGTCAAACTTGCCTATTAAAAATCTTTTTTTTTTAGAATTGTTCTTCTACAAGTTGTTTTATCTATCAAGTAATATATAATAAATCTCAAACAAATCTCTTATGAGATTTGACTTACTATTCTTGACAAAACAAGAGATGCTTTGTTGTATTTATAATATTTATTTGTGTGAAATGTTAAAATCAAACACCAACATTCTAAACTAACGGAAGATTGTTGGTAGTTTAGAATTTGATGTATCTCACATTGGATAAAAAATTTAATTATTAATGAGTAAAGTTAATTTTTATATTACTTTTATTCATATTTTAAAGAATTATATTTAAACAAAAATAATTATTATATGATAAATGATTGTAACTATTTAAATATAAATATATTATTATTCATAAAGTTATGATTATACAAAAAATTATAATCATTGAAATAAAAATTTATGTTTGTTTATTAATTATAAATAATTCTTACAATATAACTATTTTTAATTAAAAAATTTGATATTTTATTATATTTTAAAAATATAATTATTTTTAAAAAAATATTTTTCATACTTTAAAATCAAAATTCATTTCTATTTTTTCTCTCTTTTTTTTTTTTTTTTTAACAATTACTCTGTTAAACTCTTAGGCCTGTTCATGGGTCAAGAATCCAGCTTCTACTGTGGCTTATCATCGGTCAAATGATCTATAGTTAAAAATTACACTAAAATACAGGGTTCCATGTAGGGCTGTAAACGAGCCGAGTCGAGCCGAGTAGTGAGAAGCTCGAGCTCGAGCTCGACTCACAACTCGGGGCTTGATACTCGGTTCGAGCTCGATCGAATTTTATTTTTCAAGCTTGAGTTCGATTCGTGATCGAATTCGAGCTACTCGAGCTCGCTTGATTAAGCTCGATTAATATGTAAAAATAAGCTCGATTCGTATACTCGACAAGAGTTCGATTATTCATGCTCGAACTCGAACTCGAACTCGGATTCGAAATATTTTATTAATTAAAAAAAATAAAAAAATATTTAAATATAAAAGCTTGATTATTAGGCTCGTGAGCTACTCGAGTCAGATATAAGAATACTCGAAATTCGGCTCGATCGATAAGTCGAGCTACTCGAGCTCGACTCGACAATAATCGAACCGAATTCGAATTTTTTTCGAATCGAATTCGAGTAGCTTGCGAGTACTAATGTATCATTTACACCCCTAATTTCATGCATTGTCTTGAGGTCTCGTGATCTTTTTCCAATCCAAGAAATTATTAGGGTCCATCTAACGGAATCAAATCCGTGAAGAAAAACCAAAATTCATTGTTTTCTCAAGGATCTGACCCCAACTTCACTTAAACAAAATTCATTGTTGTCGTATATATAATCAAATGCTTTCGTATCATAGACAATCTTGCAGGGAATACTATCATGTTCAACACACAGAGTTATTAGGGCTAAATGTGATTAAATTAATGGTTGTTATGGGTAAGACCAAGATTATTTAATTTAAGTAAGCACATTGCTTGAAGATCATCATCACATCCGTAGCAGCCTGCCTGGGAAATATCGCTCACGGGGTCAGCACCACCATCGAGCCACCCCCGACAAGCGTGGGCACGAAGACAGACTTAGGACCGTAAAATAAAATAAAGAGTGGGGAGCGGCAAGTGGGACTCACATGGTCTCAATCTCTTCAACTATTTCACTTTGTTTTATTCTTTGACCTCTTCCTCTCTACTCTATTCTCTGTCTCGCCAGCTGTAAACATCAATTTTTTTTTATAAATGATTTCGCACGGTTTGGTTCCTTTACCAAGGTGAAAAAAAGTCAATAACTATCGACCAAATTACTAAGATACCTTTTTTTTATTAATTACCAATGTGCTTGTGATGAATTTTTTTATTATGTCCTCTCATACAATCTTTTAATAATAAAATAAAGAACTCAACAATGAAATCAGGGTTGACATATTTCATTTTCAAGTATATTTTAAAAAATTAATATAATAAAAAAATAATATTTTAATTTCATTTATTAATTTTAAAATAATAATTTAATAAAATAACAACAAAAGTTTATTTTTAATCATTGTAAAGTTATTTAGTTTCAATGGTAACTATTATAATTTATTCAGATAGTAAAAATGCTAAAATAAAAAATTTTAAATATTTATAATATTTTATTTTCATGCTTGACTTACAAAAAGTTTTAGTATCGAAACCTTAATTCATTCCATTGGTGCCATTAACAGTAATGCATAAACATTCACCTTCACTGTTTTGAAAACTTTCCATATAAAATGTTTGAAGTTTGAAATAAAAAATTAAAAAAAAGGGATCAAGATAAAAACTATACGGCAACTTTTTTAAAAAATATATAGAAAAGAAAAAAACTACAATGGTATTTCTGTCTTTTCACACAAATTCTAGTGGTATAAAACTTAAAAAAGAACAGAATCGAATTGGTCAAACCCAGTAAGCCTAAGGCTGTGCTCACTTCTGCTGCACACTGTTTGTTAACTGCAAAATCATTCAGATAACAAGCAAAGGAGTTGAAAATCAAAAGAAAACAAACAATACCAACAAAGCAAACACGACGCAAGCTCCATGCACCTTACGCGACCCCCAAAGCGCGTAGAGCATTCCCACTTCCTTAACCAGCCATCAATGGCTTCACAGAAGGCAACAACCCTTGTAGATCTCGATCCCACGTGATCCCTCACTCGTCCCATGTTCATCACAATGGCGCGTGTTCTTCACATTTTTCCACCCGCAATCAGGAACCTTCCCCATCGCCATCACATCAGTTAGCACTAAATTGACAATTAAACCCAACTCACTCAACGGTCGCAATTATATTCGTGACACTCCAACCATATCCCGACACGTCAACATTACAATCTCCATCGTGAAACACTCTTCCTGTCACCCAACACTCATTCTTTATCCTGAAAAATGTAAAATTAGAAACAGGCACTGAGTTAGTAGCAGCGAACTCTTCTTGCTCTTCTTCTAAACGGAGAAGAAAAAAGAAGGCAAATGAAATCCTAACTTCCTCTTTGGTTTTCTTCTTTATTTACAATCATGCCTTCACGGTTTTCGCCACCAGAAATTGAGGTGGAGACGCCACAGCAGCAACAGCGTCACCACCACAGAAACTCTCACCTCCTACCCCCAGTACTCGCTGCTGCCATAACTATAACTATAATCCTTTTAACCGTCTTAACCATCTTCATCTACCGGAAGCTCTCTCGCAACCGCACTGCTCCATCGGAATCTCCAAGCCACCGTCACTGCCGCCGCTTCTCATACTCCCTGCTCCGTCGAGCCACTTCCTCTTTTTCCCCTGCCAACCGGTTAGGACACGGCGGATTCGGCTCGGTTTACAAAGGAACTCTCCCTTCATCATCTCAACCACTCGCAATCAAGGTTATGAACTCAACAGATTCATTGCAAGGAGAGCGTGAATTCCACAACGAACTTTCTCTCTCACGCGCCTTGGATTCTCCCTACATTGTTCCTCTCATTGGGTTCTCTTCAGATTCTAGAAGACGAAGGTTCCTTTTGGTTTACGAACTGATGGAAAATCGGAGCGTGCAAGACGCGTTGTTGGATAGGAAATGCGAAGATCTAATGGGGTGGAGTAGAAGATTTTTTGTTATAAATGATGTGGCTAAAGGGCTTGAGTATCTGCATCATTTTTGTGATCCACCGGTTATTCATGGAGATATTAAGCCAAGTAATATTCTTTTGGATGGAGAATTCAAGGCCAAGATTGGTGATTTTGGACTTGCTAGATTGAAAACGGAGGATCTAATTGAAGGTCTTGAAGAAGGTGAAGTTTTGAGGAAAAAAGATGTCAGTGGAGAAGATAACGGATCGATTTTAGAAGAAACAGAGAGTGTTTTGACTGGGTTTGAAGAAGGGGCGAGTTTGATTGTTGCTGACAGGTCACCAGAGAGCTGTGTGCTCAAAGTTTTGGATTCGGAGCCGTCGCCAGGTGTGTCAGTGTCACCGGAGATGGGAGTGGAAAAAGGGAGTGTTTTGTCTGAAGGGTTCTTTGATAAGATTAGTGTGGAAAGTGGGAGAGATTTGGTTAGTAATAAAAAGGGTGGTTCGAGAAGAGATTGGTGGTGGAAGCAGGATCCTGGAGGTGGGTCTGAATCAGGGAGAGTTAAAGACTATGTTATGGAATGGATTGGGAATGAGATTAAAAAAGAAAGACCCAAAAGTGAATGGTTTGCTTCTCCATGCTCAGTTGATAACATTAATGACAGTAAGGGTTCGACTTTGGATGTTGAGCAGAAGAAGGAAAAGACTCGGAAGAAGGAGAGGAATAGGAAGCCGAGAGAGTGGTGGAAAGAAGAATTTTGTGAAGAACTAACTAAGAAGAAGAAAAAAAAGAAAAGAGGACTTAGTTCGAATGATAATGGAGAATTCTGGTGGCAAAGAGATGAAGAAATGATAGAAAGGAAAAAGAAGAAGAGTAGTAGAGGCAGCATTGATTGGTGGTTAGAAGGATTTAGTGGTGAATTCAAAATTGGCAGAAGAAATAGCCAAGATTGGGCAAGTGGGGATATACCAAAGAGCGGTGGGATCAGTAGTACTCCGAGCATGAGAGGAACAGTTTGTTATATTGCGCCTGAGTATGGTGGTGGTGGTTTACTTTCAGAGAAATGTGATGTTTATAGCTTTGGGGTGTTGGTTTTGGTTATAATATCTGGCCGTAGGCCTCTCCAAGTGACTGCCTCGCCAATGTCTGAATTTGAGAGAGCAAATTTGATTTCTTGGGCAAGGCAGCTGGCTTACAACGGGAGGCTTTTGGAACTTGTTGATCCCTCTATTCATTCACTGGATAAGGATCAAGCATTGCTTTGTATTACCATTGCATTGCTTTGTCTGCAAAGATCACCAAGCAAGCGGCCTACCATGAAAGAGATTGTGGAGATACTTTCTGGTGAGGCTGAGCCACCACATTTGCCTTTCGAATTTTCGCCTTCGCCACCACCGAATTTCCTGTTTAAGTCCCGGAAGAAGGCTGGGTGAGTGGTTGGATTTCTGATACTAGCATTTTGATTAACTGTAGAGTGTGTACCTAGTTGTAGGTCATTTTATTACTACTTGCTTATGTAGAAATAGTTGCAAAATGGAGAAAAAAAGTTGCTCACATTATCTCGTTAAGACGTCTCTTTTTGCTTGTTTTGTTTTTCATTTTGCTTATTCTTTTCTGTGTTTGCTTGAGTCTACAGGTGCTCCTTTAACGAATACATATCAATAGCAATGATTTAGGATTTTAGGATCAACCCCACTCCACTTGACCTTTGCTACCACTAAGTCCATTAGTGTTGAGTTTTAGAAATCCCAGGATTAACGGTAAATGTAAAGCTTCGAATATGTTGCATTTTACTTTTTGGTTGGAGATATTACCTTAATTAGATTTAAAAGTAAATGTAAAATTTGCGTTGTTCCTGGGAGTTTAATAGAGAATCTGTCACTTTAGTGTTTAATTAACTGATTTTTGGTGCCCTGTGGGCTCAACCGTTCAAGCAAGCAGTTTCCTTTTTCCTGACTTTTGGACCTATGGGGCCCAGAGTATATATGCCTTTTCGTTTGTCTTCTACCTTTCAGAAAGTAGCTGATTTTTGTTCCAAGGATCATGAAATTCAGTAGCAGGGAACAACTCTTGGTCTCAGTCTTTTATTTTGCATTATGACTAGACATTCACATTCCGCTGCATAGAATATAGATTTGCCATGCAACATTAACAAAGAAATAAACAAAGTTAGCATGAAGGGAAAAGTGAGAAAACAAGTGGAAGAATAATAGCCCTCGGATTTACATATGCCCTTTGTGTTAATTTATTTACCGTTCTCCAATATCATACATAACCAAAATACTATTAAAGCATTCTGGCTTCGAGTAGGATTGTACGGTACCTGGTCTTTCGATTTCAGATTAAAATCCAGAATTACTTTTCCCTGTCAATATGATTCAGCTTCACTGCTAAGAAGTTCCTTATTAGGTCCACCCTTCACCTCCTAATATTTTCTATTCCTTGCTGGAAACAATATTTGAAACGTTTATTTTAGTCTATTTAACGATCTTTTTATATTGTTCAAGCCCCTAAATCATCAATCTAGGGAAAAGGGTAGACAATGTTGAAGCTTTTGTGCCTACACTTCAAACCATTTTATAGTTTTTGCATTTTTCAGGTGCTGTCAGTGTTAACTGTTTCTTGATGCTATGCTTGACTTATATCCAAAACTTAAAACAGTATGTAAAAGCAAAATGTTAGCTCTTGGTGAGGAAAAGGAAAATATTCTGAAAATAGAAGTAGACTTGTTCTTTTTAGGAGGAGATAAGAAAGTTGGAAATGAATTTGTTGGAAGCTTAATTTGAGTTATGCTTTTTCTTTGCCTATGGAATATCTTATGTTCTAAAAGGGACAGCTTTGGAATATCAAGAGGAACTAAGAATTATACTGGTAAGTAATCATGGTGATGTCTTACTCATGATATTTTTCTGATGCTTTTCACTTTCGCTGAAATGAATTTGATTCTGCACAGTAAAAGCATCTGCAGTGGGGATATGTAAGTCTCTAGATTGTAGATGACTTGAGCATCACATTTCTGACTTGTAAGCGCCATTGGTGTCTCTTTTTGCTGTTATAAAAGTGCAATGAACGCTCTAAAATGTGCTACCGTGAACTAAACCTTGAAGATTCTCTCTGTTTACAGATAAAAAAGTTTTCCCAATGTGATAAATAAGCAGTTTTGTTTCACAAAAGATTCTGAACTAGTCAACTCTCATCTGCCTTTGCTTTGAGTTTTCTAGCATAATTTGGCTGCAGTTGAGAGATTCGGGGGTCTCTTTGCTAGTTTAACAAGATGTCGATTGCGATAAAAATTGAGATTCTGTCCGTTCTCCAGACTATTGGACATGTGCTCATATGAAAGCTATCTGCGACAGAAAAATTCTTACAGTTTAGATGGGTAAGAGCCAAGACCAATATATGAGCCAACATGTTCTGGATTAAATTGAGAGAAAAGTCTAAAAAGATAGCAGAATTTTGAGGGTCTCCATTGGTTACAATGGAAGGGCAACGCCCACGAAGAGTTGAGCTTGAGCCATCTTTCAGTTCAGTGCGGGGACTGAGAGGAATGAATTTGTTACCAAAGAGTGCAATTGAAATGATTTTTGTTCATAATTATTTAACGATATTATCAAGGCTGCACGTTTCTTAAAGATGAAATTGACGTCTCTTCCGAAATTAAGAAATTAGTGGGACCCAACCGTGCTTTGGTAAACCCCCAGACCTAGGGCCATGCGTCTTCTTATTTAAATCTATGTACTCGTTAAACATTGGGTAGCTGAGTCAGTCACCGCACCTGATATTTAGTCATGGACTGGTTTATCCAAGGCCCTAGGTTTGTTTTTCACCCAAACCAGCTCAAATGGGCCTTCACCTTTTGACCCATTACTCAGGGTTCACAGATATCAACTTTTGTTGTTGTTGTTTTTATAAGCAAAAAAAATAGTCTTAAATGGATCGGGCTTAGGCTTTAGTCACTTGATATTGGAGCATTTGAGATTGTTCATTCGAGTTTTGCAAGCGATCGTACCTCCCAGAAAGAGGACCGAGTTCTTTTTAGAGTATAATCAACAAAGTAGTTTAAAAAAGAAAGTCTTTTTCCTTTCGATGACTTATACCCAAATCTGCCCATGCACCAGTTGTTTTTTTTTTTTTTTTTTTTTTTTTTCTGTATCTGTTCTAAAGAATTCTAATGGATGATCTCTGGTTCAAAGCAAGTAGGCTGTACATAACACTAATTAGAACTTAAAATGTAGTCTTTGCGGCGCGGTCAACCTATTCAAGAATTGCCATCCATGCAAATGCAATGGTCCAGAAAATTAGGGGATAAGTGGATGATGGAAACACTAACGGGGGATGGGAAACAGTTTGAATTATACGCATGAGAGAGGGAAAAACCATCAATTCTAGCATTTAAAACTGAGGAAAAAGTAAATGCTCATAAACTAGCCAACAAAAACAAGTAGTAGTAGCAAACGCTGTATTGATCACCATTAATTATACCTCAGCCACCAGCATTTATTTAGAGTATCCATTTCCACCACAAACGTTTCTCAAACCATCTTCTCTTTACTCATTCAAGCAATCATCTCTCTAATCTTTATCTCAAAACAATGGAAGATCAATCCTCTACTTCAGCATCATCCGTGGATCCCTATAAGCTCCTCAAAATTGTTCAAAATCCAGACGGCTCACTCACTCGACAAGCTCACTTCCCTTCAGTTTCAGCAACAGAAGAAAGCACCGATCCCGGCACATCTCAACTCGCTCTCTTTAAGGATATCCCTCTGAACCCCAACAACAAAACCTTTTTTCGTGTGTACAGGCCTCCAACTCCTCCGCCAAACACTCATAAGCTCCCTCTCTTAATACACTTTCATGGTGGAGGCTTCATCCTCTTCAGTGCTACTTCCCGTCCTTTTCACGATGCATGCAGTGTTAAGGCTGCTATGCTCCCAGCTGTAGTCATCTCTCTCGAATACCGTCTTGCACCGGAACATCGCCTTCCAGCAGCATACGATGATGCCAAGGAGACTATCATGTGGGTCCGAGACCAGGCGTTGGATATCAACGGCTGTGATCCATGGTTAAAAGAGTATGTAGATTTTTCCAAGTGTTTTCTGATTGGTGGTAGTGCAGGTGGCAATATGGTTTACCATGCAGCTTTGCGTGCTTTGGACATCAATATCTCACCTGTGAAAATCATAGGGCTGATAATGAATCAGCCGTACTTCAGTGGGGTGGAAAGGACTGAATCAGAGAAGAGATTCATCAATGATCGGATTTTGCCTTTAACAGCTAATGATCTAATGTGGTCCTTGGCTTTGCCAAAGGGAGCTGATCGTGACCATGAGTATTGCAATCCAATGGCTGCTGATGGGTCCCATAAGGAGAACATTGGACGGCTGCCAAGGTGCTTAGTGACAGGACATGGAGGGGATCCACTGATTGACAAGCAGAGGGAATTGGTGAAAATGCTGGAGGCGCGTGGGGTCGAGGTGGTGGCAGATTTCGCTGAAGGAGGTTGTCATGGGATAGAAGTTTTCGATCCGTTGAAGGCTCAAGCTCTGTTTGAGACCATTAAGGAATTTGTCAACAATTCTTGTCATCAGGATGTTAATGTGGCTACTGCCAAATCAACCCTGTAAGAAGTTCTTAATTACTAAATATTGGTTCAAAATTTTCAGTAGTCTGCTAAAAAATTTTAATTATCGTCGATTATTGTATTTAATTTGGGGCCAGTATTAATTTTTCGCTGCTGCTAGTTTTTGTTACTATTTACTTTTCATAAAAAAACTATAACTTCTTTACTTTTCATAAAAAAACCTCCCTGTCCAAAGGGGTAAACTAGACCAAATAGATTTTGATAAAAAAAACTAATGTTTAAAATTGTAAAATTCAAAATGGGTCCTAAAAAAGTTATTGAAATAGAAGCTTTTAAGAAGCTCTATACCTTAAATTTCAAAAAAAGAAGTTATAAAACTTGACAAGTTTCTTTTGAAAAGTTCTATACTTGAAAAACCTGGTACTTGTCGGAAGTAAAACTTTTTTTTTTTCTTTTTGATCGATGATTAATTTTTATTAACATTATTAATAATCAATTAAGGTTCCATCTGTGGACTCTCAACGGTTTGCTAGCATCATCGTTAACAATTAAGCATGATTATTGATTAGGAAAAAATTTTTCTTCTATTAAAATGCGATAGGTTTTTAACAGCTGCTAAAACCAACATGATGGCATGTAATTGTCAGCATAAAGCAATGATAGGGTGAGTGGCTAAGCAAATTTCTGAAAATTGAGCAATAATAAACAGTCGAATGAGACCTTGAAAAATCTGATGGATGTTCTCTAATGAATTTGCTGGAACTATCATATTCATGTGTTTCTCACGCATCTGAACCAGAACTAAGCGTTGGATCAACTTGATCAGAAATCTTTGCTTTGCTTGAAGTTCAATCCGCAATATAGGAAGAAACATATCAGAAAATTTCAACTACTAATTTCAAATGATAAATTCCTTAATAATATTCAAAAGGGCCTGAGATCTTTGTGTATCCACGAGATCGATATCATGGAACCCCACAACATCGAACCGTGCTTCAACTTGAACTCCTTGCTTCACCAACGTTTCCACAAATGCTTGTAACCTATCAAGCATTGGATCCATATTGAACGCAATCACCAAACACCTTCCTATCGAACTGACCTTACTCTTGTACGGTCCATTCTCCAATGGATTACAAAATCGATGGTCACGATCAGTTCCCTTAGGCAATGCTAACTCCCACAACAGATCAAGTGCAGGCAATGGTATCAACTGATCCGTCGCATATTTTAACTCTGATGGCATTCTTTGTTTCCCACCAAACATTGGTTGGTTCATAAAGATGCCGATGATATTCAAAGGCTTTATGTCATAATTCAGAGCTCTTAAAGCAGCATGAAACGCAATATTGCCACCGCTGCCACGTCCACCAAGGTAACATCTTGTAAAATCTCCATAATCTCTCAGCCATTTTTCTCCTTCTGGGTCCACAGCCTGTTTCTTCACCCAGAGGATCGTGTCAATGGCGTCGTCATACTGTGCCGGAAGCCTGTGCTCGGGGGCGAGGCGATGATTGACTGCTATAATAACGGCAGGCACTTCGCTGGCAAGGGCTGAGCAAGGTTGATGAGTTGAGAGATTGGCGGCGCTGTAGAAGGCGAATCCGCCACCGTGGAAGTAGAACAGGATGGGGAGTCGTGCCACAGTGTTGTCGTTAGAGGGCAGTTTGGTGGGGAGGAAAATGCGTGCCCAGACCTTTGTTTCACCGTTGACGGTGACATCTTTGGAGACAGTGGGGAGACCTGGAATTACCCCGGGGTTGGCATCGGTGTTGGGGTAGTGGCTGAGGCGAGTGGCCGTACCATCAGGGTTGAGCCGTATACCAAGGTGCTCATACGGATCGAATCTCGACATGGTTTTAATGGGGAAATTTGGGGTGTAGATTAGGAGAGGATGGTTAAAGTGCGATAGGTTTACATGAAATGTGACCGATTCGAAGGCTGATATTCTCGTTATTGGAATTTGAGATAACAGAATTCCTGAAAACACCTGAATTACTGGATGAGTGGAACTGCTTTGGAGCCGTAAGATTAGGCTTTCTATGAGGAGGCCATCTTTGAGTTGTTGACATCTTCCATGGTTTTTTGGTTTCAGGCTCTTCGTTGACTTGTTTTTTCTTTCGACAGAAAATTTTAGTTTGTGAAAGGCTCTGGCAGCCCGCAATCTTTTGGGCTTTGGGCTTTTCTTTAGAAGTTAGTTCTTGAATCCTGCTTGGCTGATCAAGCACCTGATTCAAGCCAGTAGAAAAGTGATAACCAAACATGGCATCATGTTTGGGAATTGCATTTTGCTAACTAATGGAGTAAAGGTAATTTTTAAAGTTAGTTAAATTAATATTTATATGGGCTAAATTCAAAAATAATGCATGTAATATATATTTTTAATCAGTTTAGTATTTTAAAAAAATAAAAGTTTTATTTGATATTCAAATTTGTTTTTTATCAAGTACTTTGATGATTCAATCTAATATCATTTATCAATTTACTTATGTAAATTAATATCTAATAAAATATAAAACGTGGTATATATAAATGTCCAGTTATCGTTATATCATTTATTTTTTATATTAATATTTATATAAAATTTTTTACATTAGTATTTATATAAAAAATATAAAATTTTTAAAAATATTTTTTTAATTTAAAATTTAAAAATAAAAAATAAAATAAAAGAAATTGAAAGAATTAATAAGAGATAAAAAATAATTTTTTTGATGACATGATAATGACTTGAGATTTATGAGGCATAGCATAATTTTATTGGATATTCATATTACGTTAATTATTTAATTAATAATATTAATGTAAAGTATTAAAGTGATTGATAAAATAAAAATTAGAGTATTAAAGTGAGAATTTTATTTTTTTAATTATTAAATTAATTAAAATATAGAATATAGAGAGCATTTTACATATTAACTATATTTATATTAAATATGATAATTATTATTAAAATTTAAAATTAATAATCTTACAAATCTAAAATACTAATAAAATTTACTTTTATTTTTTATAGTAATTAAAAAGTAAAAAACAAAAAACAAAAGTACTCAATTTTAAAAAATTGTGTTAACAGTGTATTTAGGATTTTTTTAAAATTAATTAAGTTATTATTTATAATAATATTTTGTACCAAATACAATAATTAATTGTTAATTTCATGAATGTCAATAATTAAAACCATTAATATAATAATTATCATTATTTGTAGTTATATTTTATATTAAACTTTAAAGAGCACATGTAGAACTGGAAGGAAAACCAAACACAAAGAGGAGTCCATACAATATTGTACTTTTTCAACTTGCTGGTTAAGGAATCGTGTGGGATTCATAGTTACAAAAGCGGAACTTTACATTGGCTGACAAAGCATGCCCAAAGTCCCAAACAACAAACAATTACAAACCAACCAGCAGCTGAGTTAGAGTTAGTCGAAGACCAGAAGTCACGAGTGAACATAGTTACTACAGACTCGAGCGAAAGGAGAAAAAGCTGCATCGTCCGACATCCTTTGATCTAGATCCTACGGTTGTCGAACGTAGATCGAACTGTGAGTTCCCCAGATTTTAGATACGATATTTAATACTCAAAGAATTTTTTTACCTTTTGCGAATCAGATAACCTGAGATTTCTGATCTTCTTTTGGCAATCCTCTCTCTCTATCTCTCGCTTTTCTCTGAAGTGTTAAACCTCAGAGAAACATACTGCGATGACCGGCAGTGGAGGCGACGCGCCACTGCCACCCACCGCTAATGGTGGCGAGTTTCTCCTTTCTTTACTCCAAAAGCCCCAACCACATCATCAACAACAACAATCTCCATTACTCTCTAAAGTGACTCCCGTGACGATGCCTCGACCACAAGCGCAACCACAACCGCAACAGCAACAGCAACAGCAACAGCAACAGCAACAGCAGCCACTGCTAGCCATCGATCCTGCCGTTGCAGCTGTGGGGCCCACACTGTCTTTCCTTCCTTCTTGGTCATCGAATGGACGCGATCTCCCGAGTCCGTGGCCCCATACACTCTCTACGCCTTTCGCTCCTAATTTTCTAGGGTTTCCGCAAAACCCTTGGTCTTCAGCGGGAAACCAATTCACCGGCAATCAAGGAGCTTTTATCGATGATAACAAATCTAGGTTAGGGTTTCCAGGGATCGATAATAATAACAACAATCACGTGATCCAGAACCTGGTCCAGCAAAAGCATCAGGAGCAAAAGATCGTCTTTGGTTCTTTGCCTAGCCATATTCAAACCCTTCAAAAGCCTGAGGGTTTACTTAATGGGAATTTCCTTGAAAATTCGAAGTTGAATTTATCAAAACAGCAATTGGAGCCGAGGCTTAATTCCAATGCAAATTCGAGTCCATACGCCTTTCAACATCGAAATTCTGGTGAAAGAGGAAAGCAACAGCAGCATGTTGGGAATTACAGGCCTACCCCATCAGCGGAAACTCCAAGACCGCCTCCAGGGTTTTCAGGAAAGTCTAGGGGAGGAGGTGGAGGAAGTCGAGATTTTGGAAACACCAGGAGGCAAGTTGAGCAAAATGTAAATAAATTAAAAGCTGAATACAGTCAGTTGAGTGGTGACAATGAGATGGGGCTTCGTGGGCAGCTTGATCGCCCGCTGCCGGCAGGGAGTAATCTGCAGTCTGTTCCGGCTACTGATGTTGATAGCGATGGTGGTAGAGATGGGTTTCCAAGGCGTGATAAGTTTAGGAGGGAAGATGGTGGCGAAGTGGATGAAGTTGGGGAAAAGCTTCTTGAGTCTTTGTCGATAGAGGAAAACTCTGATGATAAGAATGATAAGAAGCAGCATCGTCGTGAGAAGGTAAACTTATTTTTTTTTCCTACTGTTACTTTTTAATACCTTGAATCTGTTGCTATAATCTTTGAAGCTTTGAGAGATCGGCCAGTTAAAGATTAAGGTGGAGGCCTGAATTTTAAATTGAAATTAAACCAGCACGATTAATTTTGGTAGTATATGCTTAATAGTTTAATTCTGCCTGAAATTTGGTTGGTAATATTTATTCACAAAGCTTTTCATTCTAAGTCCAAGTAGTGTCCCACTGGATACATAATGTAGGTGCCCTTGAAGTTTGAGTTTTGTTACATACCACCGCCATTTTATCTAGATAGTCAGAATTTCAGATTAAAATTATTGGACCATTTGACATTATTATTTAGTGAAAGACTGGTCTTTTGTTTAAATTTGGGATTCACTTGTGGTTTTTATATCAGGAATCCAGAATAGATAGCAGGGGGCAAAGGCCACTTAGCCAGAGGTTGAGAATGTTAAAAAGGCAGATGGAGTGTCGCAGTGACATTCACAGGCTAATTGCACCTTTACTTGCTATTTATGAGTTGCTTATACCGCCTGAGGAGGAAAGAGCCAAGCAGAACCAATTATTGGCATTACTTGAGAAACTAGTTTGCAAAGAGTGGCCAAAAGCAGGGTTATATCTTTATGGATCATGTGCCAACTCTTTTGGGGTTTCAAAGAGTGATATTGATGTCTGTCTGGCGTTTAATGAGGACATCAATAACAAGTCTGAAATCTTGTTGAAGTTGGCAGATATTTTGCGGTCAGATAATCTTCAGAATGTGCAGGTTGATTATATTTGCTATCTTCTTTAAAATTAATTGCAATCAATTATATGTGTGAACTCACAGTCATTTTTTTTCTTTTTTTCTTTCTTTTAAATTGGTATTAAAATGGTTGCCTAAATTTTCAGTATGTTCTATTGTAGATGGGATGGCTATTTGCTGATTGGGCTTTCTTTAATTGATTTGTTTTCTATTAATTAATAGCTGCTTCTTAGGACTTTTTTTTTTTTTTAAATTTTAAGTAATGCTATGTTAATGAGCTATGATGACATTTTGTGTACTCGGCAGGTTTGTAAACTTGATTAATTTATTACATAAATCCCTAGTGGCATTAATACATACTTTTTTTTTCTAGGTGGATGATAATTCAAGATGAGAAAATCTTATTCTGAAACTTGATTAGTACATGCCCCCTAAGAAATCCTTACTGTACACCCTTTAAGATTCATTGTGTGATTTATGCTAGTTTGTGAAAATTCGGTTCAGAGTGCCCTTTTTTTTTGTGTGATCTTTGTATTTTATTTTCATTAAACATTCTTCTTTTTGTTGTCCTTTCCAGCTGATATGCTTTCATAAAGTGTATACAGAACATTGTGGTTGAAGTTTAGACTGTTTATGGTTAAACTTTACAGTAAAATCTAGTTTAACTTGCTGTTTGCCCCTTGTGCAGGCACTGACTCGTGCTAGGGTCCCCCTAGTCAAGCTTATGGATCCGGTGACTGGAATTTCCTGTGACATATGCATAAACAATATTTTGGCTGTAGTAAATACTAAGCTTCTAAAGGATTATGCAAAGATAGATGCAAGATTACGACAGTTGGCTTTTATTGTGAAACATTGGGCCAAGTCCAGAGGAGTGAATGAAACTTACCAAGGAACTCTATCTAGCTATGCGTGAGTTACTATTATTCAATTCCCAATTTGCCGTAATTAGCAATGTGATTCTTGAGCAGCAGCATATTCCAATGGTTTTTGTGGTTAGTCTGTTTAGCTTGTTTTGGAATGCATAAAGCATAGATAAAAATTTTAAGCTAATGATGGCCAATTTAGGTAGGATTCATGATCCTAGAAAAATGGTAGGACACATTTATGTTATCGCTTAATTTAATTTGCTCTTGTAAAGTCGCCTGTGTATGATAATGTTTTTATGTTCTCAGTTTTTGTTTTTAATTATTACTTTCTTTGCAGGTATGTTTTAATGTGCATTCATTTCTTACAGCAACGTAGACCTGCTATCCTTCCATGCTTGCAGGTGTGTATGTCTTGTTGCTTCGTATACCTGCTAATTTAATTTGGATATTTTAAGTTGTTTCTACAGTGAAAAAACTCATGGAACTTAATAATTTGGATTTTGTCCGACCTTTGCTACTTTATTGCTGGTAGAAATTTTCTTCTCCTAAATGGTAAAGGTAACATGATATTCTATTGTTTATTCACCTATCGTTTAAAATGTCAACCTTTAATCGTGTTTTTGACATGCCTCGTCTAGTTGGCTTATATATTTGGCTGCACAGTTTAAGGATAATGGCTTAATTAACAGTCTCTTAAGTGTTTGCTATTACCATGGATTGCTCTGGTATGGTAGAGAGAGTTGCATGATATAATGAAAAGGTGGCAGACAACAACAAAGAGAGTTATATAATGTAATGAATGGAAAAAACTGTCACAGAAAGAAGTGGACTTTTTTAATGGGTTTTGGTTTTTCATCGGTTAGGTTTTGTGGTCATATTTTACCTTTCTGGTTCATGTATGATTGTTGGTTCTGTTTCCTATAACAAATCTGTAAGGTCCATAATTAGTATGGGGTTAGTTTCATGTCACACATCTATTCACAGCCTTTATTCCTTCACATGAAACATTTCATCGGAAGCTTTACTTCTGTATTATTTTTATCCTTACTAAATACCATGAACAAATGTTGTTGGGTTACTCATTTGGATTTTACTTTTGCTAATTCTATTTCAGGGGATGGAGACAACCTACTCTGTCACTGTGGATGATGTTGAGTGTGCTTACTTTGATCAAGTTGAAAAACTTCGTGATTTTGGATCTTCTAACAAGGAAACTGTTGCTCAACTGGTGTGGGCATTCTTCAACTATTGGGCATATGGTCATGATTATGCAAATTCAGTAATATCTGTCCGCACAGGAAGGATAATCAGGTAAGATTTAAACTGTTATATTTTGAAGTAATTCTACATAAATGACTTTTGAGATGAAGATATAAAATGTCTTGATGGTTAGTTGCATCTTGTGGTGAATGATCCCCTCTATGCTATAAGCCTTTATGAGTTATTTTATAAACAGATCCCATTTACTCTTGGAACTTCTGGTTCTGTTATGGTCTAGGAATTTGACACAGTTCTGCAATAAATTGCTTTTGTAGCCGTGATGTATATTTGGGCAGGAAGAAACATGTTTGCAATCTTAGAATGGCCTGCAATTTGCAAAAGATCAATGAATGCTAAAAAATTTTGTTTTGCATTAATTGAGGAATAAATAGATGGAGGGAAGGGAAAGAGTAGGGATAAGATAAACGAATTCTTTTGTAGAGTCAAATCTCATTTTAGTATGAACAAAAATGTTTCTCATTTATTACATACATTTGTACAGCAAGCGAGAAAAAGACTGGACAAGGAGAATTGGCAATGATCGTCATTTAATCTGTATAGAGGATCCCTTTGAGACATCTCATGACCTTGGCCGAGTGGTGGACAAGTTCAGCATTAGAGTTCTAAGAGAAGAGTTCGAACGTGCTGCTGATATCTTGCAGTATGACCCAAATCCTTGTGTGACACTCTTTGAACCTTATGTTCCTAGTTAACTAAACCTTGTTCAGGTGTGTTAAATGTAGCAATGGTTAAGCTTATTTGGCTTTGTAGTGTGCTTCCTCTCACCCCCATCTTCAATTTTGTCATTGGGTTCTTAGTATTGTATTTAGGGCTTTCGGCTTTGTTTATGCCCATCAATATAAAGAACATCATGTTTATGAAACTTCCCTCGTTTCAGTTTTTTAGTTTCTCTATAGCCTTATATTAAATTACATTTGTAATTGGATCATATCTAGGGTTGCTTCTGCCAATCTTTTAAAATATTCATTTAAATTTTCCTCTCAAGCTAACGACAAATGCATTAAAACAGGTAGTCGAAGCTAGGGGTTGCCTACTCAACGTTGTGGTCACATTCGTCGAAAAGTTAAATTAAAAAAAAAATGTGGGAACTCTTATATCGGGGAAAAATTATTTCTACTTGTCAATGTTCTTAGCCCTTTCTGATTTCTACTATTATTACTCTTCTTTTTGCTTTTGCATTTAATAATCACTAGAATTAAAAATTTAAAATTCAAGTTTAAAGTCTTTAAATATAGGTCTCACTATTTAAGAACTTAAAAAAGTAATTAATAATTAGATAAATTACAACTTTTTCTTTCGTTGGATGTTTAAAAAACATTTCAACGTGACGTTGCTCTGATTAAAATTTTCCTTTTGATTGACATGGCAGACAAGAAACCTATTAAAAAAAACATAGTAGATAATAAAAAGATTTGTATGTGGTTTGAGTGCAATTGGTATTATAATTATTAATTATTAATTATTAATTATTATTATTATTATTATTATGACAAGTCAAGCAAAGCCGGTGTAAGCCTTTGAATAACTACCGTTTCCGAAATTGATGCCGGAAATATAAATAAAAAAAAAGCTTGGCTTTCCTCGTCACGCCGTAGTGCTCACGTACACCAATTTCTCATCAAACTTACCTTAAAAAAACCACTTCATCCAGCAATCTTGCGTAAAGTCCCACCCGTGTGCGGTCCTCGATCACTCCCTATTTGCCGAAGGCTAAACACAAACCAACCGAGCACTTACAAAGCAATGGCATCTGAAAACCAATCTCTCCGTTCCCAAAACGATCTGCCCTATGTCCTGATCTTTAAACCCCCGCCAGCCTTCGTCATCTTCGGAGATCATTTCTTCAACTCACCCAAGTTCCAATTCTTGAAGGCCTACGAATCTCCACTCCCTCTTCCCCAGTTCTTACGCGCCCATGCTCTGTCTGTACAAGCTGTTCTCTCATCTGGTGCCGCTCCTGTTACTGCAGATATTATTCGCCTTTTGCCCCTCCTTCGTTTGGTGGTTACAACTAGCCAGGGCCTTAACCACATCGACCTCTCCGAGTGCCGACGCCGTGGCATCGCGGTGGCTAGCGCTGGAACCATTTACTCCGCTGATTGTGCAGATTCCGTGGTGGCGTTGTTGATTGACGTTTTGAGGAAGATTTCGGCTGCTAATTGCTTTGTCAAGCAAGGACTCTGGTCTTCGAAAGGGGACTATCCTCTTGGCTCTAAGGTAGTATCCTTTATTCCCCAGTTACCTATCTTATTTCTAATGGGAAAGAAATTGTAAGCTTTGACCAAAAAATTGCAACATTAAAAAATTTTCCTTTCAATCCCAAATTAAATTATAAACATAAAGTACTATGCGAATGTTAAGCGTTGCTGATGATTTGGTAATTGACGAAATTCAGCTTGGGGGTAAGCGAGTGGGAATTGTTGGATTAGGGAGTATTGGATCAGATGTTGCTAAAAGACTAGAGGCATTTGGTTGCCCTATCTCATACAATTCAAGAAACAAAAAACCATTAGTACCATATGCTTTTTATCCTGATGTTCGTGAACTGGCTGCTAATTGCGATGTCCTTGTAATTTGCTGTGCGTTGACTGATGAAACACACCACCTGATCAACAAGGAAGTGTTGTCAGCGTTGGGGAAAGATGGAGTCATTATTAATATAGCACGTGGGCCCATCATTGATGAGAAGGAATTGGTTCGGTGTTTAGTTGACGGAGAGATCCGAGGTGCTGGCTTGGATGTGTTTGAGCATGAACCTCTTGTTCCCAATGAGCTCTTTGCATTGGATAATGTAGTTATGTCTCCTCATAATGCTGTTTTTACAACGGAATCTTTGGAAGATCTGCGTAAAATTGTGGTCGGAAACTTCGAAGCTTTCTTCTCAAATGAATCCTTATTAACCCCTGTTGCTCTGGATGACCAACCACATTTCTCGGGTTAGTTACTGTGCCAATATCTCTTTACTCATAATTTCACTGAGGCTTTTATAATTTGGAATGATCTTTTCATCTGACAAGCTGTCATTCTACATCGTGAAGGGGATATGCTGTTTTTAACATATTGCAGAGTCTCGTAACTAAAGGAAAATTTTCTTTCCCGATATTAGCTCATGTGGCTTACTGCTAAGCTGAAAAATATGATGTTTGTTGACATTCTCGTCGTTTTTAGGCAATCTCATATCAATGTCGTCATCCTCAACATCATATCTCTCCCTCATCTTTTAGGCAAACTGGTTATGTAGTACAAGGTTAGTTACTCTATTTCTCTAATTCACATGCTTTTTTGGGTGGATGCAGGGTGGAAAGACTAGCGTAGTTGAGGAGACCAGGAATAAGACTTGGTGCATTGCTATTATTAGATAATTTTCTCTGTTGTATGTCTTCCAATTGTAAGCTTGAAATTAAAAACCGTGTAGAATTGTTCGCAATCATTGTAAAACACTAGATATACCCTGATTTTGGGTGAAGATTAACGAACATATTTTACCAATATTGCTTGCAAAATTTAGGCTCTTTCAAACTTGGTTATGGTAGTCAAGAAACGAGACATGGTTTTAACGTCTTTGCTACGTACAAAAGCCTTGCTCCTTGTATTAGCACTTCTACATGTTGGTACTGAAGATAAGAGAAAGAAATAATGAAGAAATCAGAAATGTTTTCGCCAGCTTAGATCACCTGGTCACATAGCAGGCAACGAGTCTAACCCATAAATATATGAAGAAATTACAGCAAAAACTATAACAATTTATCAGGATTGGTTGGAAATTAGACTGTAGTTTGGCAAAGATGTGAGTTGGCAATGGTGGCGAATGGGCGGTGAATTTGCAGCGGTAATGTCTCTGGCGTACGTGGTTGGAAAATAATCAAGTTGCCTACACTTTAATCAGCTATCAATTTAATTATCATCATAAATAGAAAGAATGCATGACATAGATACAAAAAAGTACTCAAAGTCCAAAAAAAAAAAAAAATTAGTGTTGGGTATCCATATTTGGATACTTTTGTTCTGAGTCGAAACAACTTGAATTTTTGTTACTCATCAAAATTTCAAAAGAAACATTCGACCCTTTAACAAGTAATCCACCGGGAACTAACGGAGAGGGGGCGTCCTTAAATGGTCAGAAGAAAACCCTTATCGGTCAATCAGAGAAAGGACCTCACACCATCATCACTACCAAAACACAACCACAAATAAGTGTCTTTAATAAATATATCAATTATTACATTTAATAGAACTAGCTCTCCAATGGCCGACTATGGAGGCCAAGAAAGTAATGTTCATCCATCTCAACATCTTCCACTAGTCTTAGTTCTTGAGCCACCACCAGTCTTCAAATTTCATGGGGATCAACTTTCAGAAAAGTTCCAATTCTTGAAAGCATGGGAATCGCCTCTCCCTCTAGACCAATTCTTGACCATCCATGCACATTCAGTCCAAGCCCTTCTCTCGCCTGGCACACACCCAGTCACGTCTGACACAATCCGGTTGCTGCCATCTCTGGGGCTGATTGTCACCACAAGTGTTGGTCTCAACCACATTGATCTGCCAGAGTGCCAAAGGCGTGGAATTTCTATAGCCAATGCTGGAAACTTGTATTCTGAAGATGTCGCTGATCTGGCTGTTGGCCTACTGATTGACGTGCTAAGGAAAATCTCTGCAGCTGATCGGTATATAAGACGGCAGCTTTGGCCCAGAAAAGGAGAATTTCCTCTTGGATTCAAGGTGATTTTTCCCCTTCTGGCCTGTCTCCATATCGTTGACTTGAGCCCTTTAGTTTCAGAAGATATTTTTCATAATTTCTGCATAAGAAAATGTAAGATCTTTTTGTTGAGAAACCATTTCACCTCGTATTTCGTGATCAACGGTGATTGAAGAGTCAGTTTTGACATGATTTTATAATAATTCCAAAGAAATTGTCTGTCACTAAAATTTACAGAGGTTGCAAACCAACAAAGAGGAATTATTAAAATTTCCCCTTGTTTGAATGAATCACAATCTTTTTCTAGTTATGCATTCTTTGTGACTCTGGATTTGGGGTTCATTGTTTCAGTTAACAGGCAAACGAGTTGGAATTGTTGGATTGGGAAGCATTGGCTTAGAAGTAGCAAAAAGGCTTGATGCATTTGGATGCAATATCTTGTACAACTCCAGAAGGAAGAAGCCATCCATACAATATCCATACTATTCAAATATCTGTGAACTTGCATCAAACTCTGATGTTCTTATAATTTGTTGTGAATTAACTGACAAAACCCATCACATGATTAACAAGGAAGTTCTGCAAGCACTGGGGAAGGAAGGAGTCATTGTTAACGTTGGACGTGGCGCTATTATAGATGAACAGGAAATGGTGGGGTGTTTGATGCGGGGAGAGATTGGAGGTGCTGGCTTGGATGTGTATGAGAAGGAGCCTGATGTTCCAAAAGAACTCTGCGCGTTGGATAATGTTGTGCTGTCGCCACATAGAGCTGTTCATTCACAGGAAACTATAATGGCTTTGCGTGACCTTCTGGTGGGGAATTTTGAAGCTTTCTTCTCAAATAAACCCTTACTAACCCCAGTAACAATGAATGAGTGATGATCTCAATTCTCATGTATGCTGGGTGTGGAGTGTTTGATCATTGATGCAATGAAGCCATCAATAGAATTATGAATAAGAAAAGGGTTATTGACTTTCTGGATTTCTTGTTGAATTATTTGTTGTCTGACATGTATGAAAATGAAGGTTACTTATGTCAATAGTTAATGTAGAAAATTGGCTAGTATTGGATCACAAAGTCATAGCATCAAATGTTTTACCGTCTGGAATAGACTTTTTCTTTTGGAAACAACACACCATGCACCAGCTGAGAAGTCCTCAGGCCATAAGTTTTTGGAGCTTGGTAGTTGCCTAGTTGGTATGCTAATGAGTCTCTTCATATGATCTGAACTATTCCAACGTTTCCCAATTATGGAGCCCAAGCCCAACATCGGTATGCGCGCCGCAATATCTGCCACAAATATTGAACTTGGCAATGATTCAACCTCCCAATAATTTGGAATCCAATGCCCCTCTGCTATGTCCCCGTTACCAAACAAACATAGTTGGAATCATGGACAAAATAATTAAATTAAATAAAATTCAAAGAAAGAAATTTCTCCTTCCTTTATTATTATTATTATTTTTACTTAAAGGTTAAAGCCCAAAAAATTAGGGAAGGGAATTTGCTTGACTCTTTTTTTCTGTAGAAGGTCTGCTTCTACCGAACATCCTCCAGTAAAGCCTTTCTCTTTTGCTTCAGTTTCACCCTTCAGTTAAACTCAGACCATCAATGGAACATCAATTAGAACGAAGTGATCACCGATCGCAAGACGTCCCTCAAGTTCTAGTCATCAAACCACCACCGCTTGTTACACTTTTTGAGGATAAATTCATCTCAAGCAAATACCAACTCTTGAAAGCATGGGAGTCAACACTTCCTCTAGATCAATTCTTGACCACCTATGCAGGCTCAGTTCGAGCGGTCCTCTGCTCTGGTGCTTCCCCTATCACCCCTGACATCATCCGGCTGCTGCCTTCATTGCAACTCGTCGTAACTGCCAGCGCTGGCATCAATCACATTGACTTGAATGAGTGCAGGAGGCTTGGCATAGCAGTGACCAACGCTGCTGGTGTGTTTTCTGATGATGGTGCTGATGCTGCTGTGGGGTTGTTGATTAACGTACTTAGAAGGATTTCTGCTGCTGATCGGTATGTTAGACATGGTCTTTGGCCCGCGAAAGGAGATTATCTTCTTGGATCTAAGGTCATTATTTCTCCTTTTAGTTTTATTCTTTGTGGGTTTCTGTCAGATTCGTAGGAAAATTCTTTTGCAGGATCATTGATTTTGAATTTTAGACACAGTTAGCAGGATAGAGGAAAGATGCTTGAACCTTTTGCTGTTTCTACTAAAAAGTACTAATAGGACATGGTGCACATATTTCTTTCTTTTCTTTTGAAGAGGATTAGAAGGAAAAATTCATGATACATATATAGGAAATCATGACAGTTTTTCTATCAATGTAAACTGATGGATTCTTGTTGAATCATGGTTGAAGAATAATTCTGTTGAAAACTGAGCTGTGTATTGTTCTATACTTCTATGCCACATTCTGCAGACATTTGTGTGGTTGAAAAATGGAGTGAGAGATGAGAGTGCTTAAATTTTGACGTTGCATATGGCACGATTCATACTCATTGTCCTAATTCTCTCTAGTTTGTTTTTCTTTTGATGAAAAGCAATCTTGACCATTTCAATTTGTGCATATCAGTTGGGAGGCAAGCGAGTTGGGATTGTTGGACTTGGAGGCATTGGCTCAGCAGTAGCTAAAAGGCTAGAGGCCTTTGGGTGCACTGTATTGTACAACTCAAGAACCCAAAAGCCATTTGTTCCATACCCTTTCTACTCCAACGTTTATGAACTCGCTGCTGACAGTGATGTCCTCATCATTTGCTGTGGATTAACTGCTGACACTCGGCATATGGTTAACAGAGAAGTCATGTTGGCACTAGGAAAGCAAGGAATCATCGTCAACATAGCACGCGGAGCCATTATCAATGAGAAGGAAATGGTGGAGTGTTTGCTACAAGGAGAGATTGGAGGAGCTGGTTTAGATGTGTTTGAGAACGAACCTAATGTTCCTAAAGAGCTCTTTGAATTGGATAATGTTGTGCTGTCACCACACCGAGCTGTTTTTACACCAGAAGGTTTCATCGCTGCTTGTGAACTGGTGGTGGGGAACTTGGAAGCTTTCTTTTCAGATAAACCATTACTTTCTCCGGTCATGGATGAATGAACTAATCATTGTATTTCTGTTCACGGTTCAGTTTAACCTAGCAAAGTCCCTTAATTTGGTACTCGGTTCTTTGTAATTTGCTATAGATGCAATCAAGAGTTCGTATGAATAACTTAACTAAAAATTTTCAAAAATTTTTATAGATGAATGTTAATTTTGATGAGATGACAAGTTGTGATTAATTGTTAGTGTAAAATCTTTTACTAAAAACTTGAGTTAGATTAGATTTTTCTTATTCAGAAATTACAGTTGTTAAGATTTAAAAAGGATGCCAAAAATGATTATCTGAACCAACTATATTAAACCTCAATTCGAGTTAATTAAATTTTAATTCTGTGATTAAGTAATTATTCAGCAACTAAAAGCCATGGTTAGACTTAAATGTGCGATTATAAACAATAAGCTACATTGGGCTGGGCCTTAAAGTGTCAATTGCCTAATCTTCAAAGGCCCAAGAGATTAAAATAAGGCCCGAGTTAGGTCAAATTGCTAAATCTAAAAGACCAAGTGTTTGTTTTTGTTCGTAGAGGATACATATACATATACATATACATATATATAATCTGATCTTACTTGGATGATAATTTCTGCTTACTCTGTGTATGCCGCTTGGCATGCAATGCATGCTTGTATCATTATATCACTATTATTGGCAGAGCAAAACGTTACTATATTGTTTTGGCTTAATCCCCCCCCCCCCCCACCACCCCCCACCAAAAAAAAATGGTAGTACAATTTTTTTTCTTCCGAGAATGAAGCATATAAACCAAAACTTTTGATCTTTGCACGTGAAAAGTGGGCTTGGATTGTCAGTATGCCTCAAATTGTTGTCCAATCGAACAAGCAAGGCCGAGGGGCTAGCTTGATTGCCCAATGTATAGAGCTTCTCTTTTGTTGCCATTTGCCCAGAAAGATCGATATTGGATTTCATAGCACCAACTTTTTGGTATGAGGTCCTTTCCATGCATAGATATTTTTCCTTTATTTATCTTACTGTATCTACTATGTATATCAAGACCATAATTTTCATTTCAATTATCAACAAGATTGACGTGATATTTATATCTTTGGTGTCTTCTATTGTATGGCTAGTTAATATTTAAAAATCATTTTCTTTTTATCATTTGTAATATATGCCTCATGTTGCAAAGCATACATGCGAATAATTTAAGTTACTAAAAATCGTACTGACGAATCTTATCAAATCAAAAGTAAGATTATCGTTGAAGATTGTTAAAATCTTTTTACGCATCTTACATGTATTAACAACAAAATAGTAAGATTTAATTTTGTTTTATTACATAATTTTGTTAAGTTTTTTTTTTTTTTTTTTGATGAATCTCCTTGATATGATCTAGCAATTAAAGACGACATAACACACGTATTGGTATTTTAGAATGCATAATCATGCAAACAGTCTATTATACAAGTAGCTGAATATGATAAGCTGTCTTTCAATCATCAAGGTCTTCAATTCGAAAAGGTTAAATTTTAGTGCAAGAAAAAAAAGTACCCTTCACTGTATTTGATTTGTTATGCATCCGAGTGACCAAAAACAATCTGATTTTAGATGCTCAATCTAAAATATATGATGGCTATCACCTAACAGTCTTGGCAATTAATTGTGTTGTGACTATCTAGTTTGTACTATACCTCATCTATATGAAATCAAATTGGTGAGATCCAACTTTTTTCTACTTGAGGAATTCTAGTGAGCAACCTTTCCGCAAAAGTTGGCATCAAATATTGAAAAGTACAAAGTTTCTTCCGTTTAATTTTCTTTAAGACAGTTATGAAAAGAAGTACACCAATTAGGGAGCAATCATTGGATGATTAGATCAATAAATATAATTAATTAATTATTAATACTAAGTGTGGAATCCATTTCAATCTCTTAAATATTTCTTACTAATGGGTTTTTTTTTTTTTTATATAAAAATATAATTAAAAAGAAATTCCAGTCAAAATGGTGGATAATATATTTACATAATATGATGAGAGTAGGTTTTTTTTTTTTTTTTTTTTTCTATATTATGGTAAATTTTAAGCCTTTCTAAGAAGAAGATGATAAAATATCCAAATCTTATATAGAAAAGTTAGCCTTATATTCATGTATGTAGAAAACATAAGAGTAGAGTGCAAGAATGATACTAATATAATAGATAGATTCATTTCACCTACCATTAACTTAAATGCATGTCTGGATTAAGCGTATGAATCTAATCGATTATGTTTTTTAATATATTTTCATTACCATGTAATATCTTTTTTAGCATTTTTGTTATATGAAAATATAGAGATTGGATTCTAATCATTGAAATTAAAAATACAATGCTTTATTATGATTGTTAGCCATATTAATTAAATTTCTTTTATTGATAGTTAATTAACTTGTCGTAAATCAAAATTACATAAAATTTAGTATAGAACCTATATTTATAGATTGTGGATCTTTACATAATTTTTTATTATGATTGGATCATTGTAATATTATAATAAAAAAATTATAGGTGAAATGTTTTAAAAATACAAATAAAGTAAAAAAAATCAAAATTAAGCTCGAAAAACAAGACAAAACTTACATGAAAGTAAAATTTATGAAGTTGATTCTTAAAAATGATTTAATAAAAACTTTAATAAAAAGTTTAAATCGATAAATTGATAAAATTCAATGTAAAGATCAATAATATGTAAAAAAAATATTAAAAAAATTATTTATAATTCAAGTTTAATTGATAATTATTAAACAATAAAAATTTTATCAGTATTTTTATTAAAAATATTTATCTAAATATATATATAAATTTTTAAAATTTTACACAATTTATATAACGAGATTTTTCAATTTATTAATTTTGATTTTTAATTTTTTTAATTTTAATTTAATTTGATTTCTAATAAAAAATTTCACAAATTTTATTTAAAAAACTTTATTTAAGTATTTCCCCTAAAAAATGCAAACAAATTAGGGAATGACGCTACAGTAATCAGATTCCAAAACAATGGCCTTCTCCTTATGTATTCGGTCTTCCTTTGCTTCTCTTATTTAAACTCTCTTTTACTCTTCTTTAGCTCTCACAGGCTTCCTTTATTTTTTCTCTTTAAACACCAAAACAAAAACATTCAAGTCACAACTGAAATGGTACATTATCTGCCAAAGGGTTGTAGCATTCCAAACAACCCAACGCCTCTTCCGCGGGAAAGGCCTAATCTTACATGCGGAGCAAAAAATGAACATCAACCTTTAGTTTTCGGTTCATCAATCCTTGGATCTGAATCCAATATACCCTCTCAGTTCATATGGCCTGACCATGAGAAACCATGCCTGGAGGCCCCAGAACTTGTAATTCCAACAATTGACTTGGGGGTTCTCTTGTCTGAAGATTCCCTTGCTGTCTCAAAAGCAGCAGAGCTTGTCAATGAGACATGCAAGAAGCATGGATTTTTCATGGTTGTAAACCATGGGGTGGATTCCGAGCTTATAGATAAAGCTTATCAGTTCATGGACCTGTTATTTGGACTGCAACTCTCTGAGAAGCAAAAGGCCCAGAGAAAATTAGGAGAAAGCTATGGGTATGCGAGTAGCTTCGTTGGCAGGTTCTCCTCCAAGCTGCCATGGAAAGAAACACTGTCTTTTCGATATTGCCCTGACAGTCCAAATCTCGTGGAACAATATTTTGTAAATGTGATGGGTGAAGATTTTAGACATTTCGGGTATGTAAAATCCCACTATTCTCTTCCTAATAAATAAACGAGAAATATTTGCATTCTTATTATAATTATAAGAAAATTTACGATATTCATAATCGCGCAAGAGCTTATATATGTTAATATGAGGATTGTTCTCCGAAAATGCAAATGCTATAGACTAATTAATTAATTAATTAATTATACCTGTTGTAGTTCAGTATATTTGTTAGTCTGTCATGCATTTTAACAATAATGTTAATTGTCTAAAGACACCTCCTCCATACACATGATAATGGAAAGTTCCTATAGTTTTCGACAAGATTACATACAAATCTTCGTCTCTCGATTTTCTTTTGGTGCTTGATAGGAGGCTTTACCAGGAATATAGTGAAGCCATGAGCAAGCTTTCACTAGGGATTATGGAGCTGCTAGGGGTAAGTCTAGGACTTGACAAAGCCTACTTCAGAGACTTCTTCAAAGGAAATGATTCAATCTTGAGATTGAATCACTATCCACCATGCCAAAAACCTGATTTGACTCTAGGAACCGGTCCTCACTCCGACCCCACTGCCTTGACAATCCTCCATCAGGATCAGGTGGGTGGCCTTCAGGTGTTAGCGGACGAAAAGTGGCACTCCGTTACTCCCATTCCAGCAGCTTTCGTTGTCAACATTGGCGATACATTTATGGTAAGATCTTCAATATATATATATAGCTTGTTAGTTAGTGGTAAATTGTAGGAAGTAAGGCCACGTCATGAAAATCAAAAGGATTCTTGAAACTTGATGAAGAATGAATTTGTCATATATATATATATATATATATATATATATATACATAGTTCAATTTGAAACATTAATGTACATATCATCAGCTTAATTACAAGAAAATAAAATTGTGATGTTTCAGGCTCTATCAAACGGCATTTACAAGAGCTGCTTGCACAGAGCAGTGGTGAACAAGCGAACCGTGAGAAGATCTCTTGCTTTCTTTCTGTGTCCCACGATGGACAAAGCGGTAACACCACCAGCTGGTTTAGTGAATTCCGCAAATCCAAGGATATACCCAGAATTTACTTGGGCAACTTTGCTCGAATTTACGCAGAAACATTACCGTGCTGACATGAAAACTCTTGATGCATTCTCGAATTGGCTTCAACAACAAGAATGAGTTTGGGCAACAAAAGTGAAATAATTAGGGGGAGACAAGCATTTATATGTTCACTCATGGTGGGTCTAAGGAATAGTGCAACAGAAACACCAAAAAGAGGGGCCAGGTTCTTGATTATTTGTGAACTAGTAGCTTATATAATTAGTGCTTGCACAGAGCAGAAGAAATTGTGTAACTCCGTTCTACTATCAAGCAAAAGTAAAACAGACCTGTCGATCCTCCATATCTAGCTAACTGTTAACCCAAAATCCAGGGAATCAGATAGATTAATGAATGGTAAGGTTCTTACACAGGCATGGATACCAACAAACAGCAAACCTAAAAGCTAGATTAAAATTTTGCCTGCCTTAATTTTCACAGCCGCTAAAACAGATGAGTAACATTCCACCATGTGCACCTTACTAATTCTGATAGCCAAAGCCAACGTTGTTAACATGTTAAAATTGATAGGTTAAGACCAGACCAAGCACAACCCAGCTCCATCTTGTGCTCAAATTAATTATTTTAATACAAGTGGATAATTGTTTTAATTATTCTTACAAAGTCGATCAATGAATGTAGATTTCTTGGTCCCTTTTCCACCATCTAATTAAGCTAAAGTTTTTTTTTTAATTCTAAAATCGTACAATTATACAGTGATTTTAAACAGTTGAGAGACAAAGAGAACAAATTTGTCGGAGCATAACTGCATAAGACTGCAAGTAAGGTCAAATCCCAATAATTAAAGTTAAAAGCATCATTAAATCATGATTTATATCTCAAGATAAAAACTTTGATATTCTCAGTTCCTCTTTTAAGAACAGGAAAAAAACATAATAATCATCAGTGCGGTTCTTGCACTAATGCCCAAAAAGAAGATCAATGTTGATCCAGTTATCCTGATAATGATTTCTGTTATGAAAACCTGACGTAACGAGGCGCATATACATATACATACATATATTGTATTGTGAAGAAGTCGCGTAATTGCTGTCTAGAATCCGGTCAGTTCAACATCATTTCAAGGAATATCTTTCTTGACCAACATTTATATACACGGACGATAATGCTTTTTGTTTGTCATGATATTTACTTCTCCACCAAAACGCCTATCACGATATGTGGAAGGGGTTTACTTATGATTTGTGACAATACAAATGAATTACAAACTCTACTAAATATTGTGTTGTGAATAACATGTACTACTTTAAAGAGAGATAGAAAATGAGAAAAAAATCTAAAGTTTTATTTAATTAATTTATGTAATTATTTTTAAAAAAATAATATTTACTAAATTTAAATTTTAAATTTTAATATTTATAATTTTTTTATTATCAGATTGTAACATAAAAAATATGAAAGTTTAAATAAAAGAAAATTGATTTTTGATAATGAATTTGATCATTTATTATAATCTTCATTTTAATTTATCATTTCCCCTCATTTTCCTTTTCAATTACCAAATAATACAAATGTAAGTGGTCAAAAATTAACATGTAGTGCTACTTAGAATTTCTTAGGAAATAAACCTAGACAAAGAAAATATGAAACTCGTATAGAAGGAAATGTTAAGAAAGCAAGTGGCAGAAGATTCGGATGGCTTTAGGAGTTTTAATGGAATTGACCAACCCAAGAAAAGTCTTTCCTGGATGCTGCTAACACGTAGAGCAATTAGCAACGAGGAAAGTGTTGTTTTTACTTGCGATATATAGTAAGGGCACTTGTTCCAAAAAAAGCAATCAATGGCAAGTTTTGATATGACCCCACAGCCACTAGCCATCAACTTTTGGTACAAACATTTAAGATAAGAGGATTCTCGCTTCTCACTTCTGAGGGCCGGCTGATGCTTCAGGTAAAAAAAAAAAAAATCTCTGATTTTGTGTCCGTGCAGAATCATATAAGTTTAGATTGTTGCTTGACTTTGTGAGGGTGGTAAAAGGTCATTTTCCTTAAGATAACGGTATCACATCACAATTCGCTTCATATCCATCGTCCATGGGTTGGAAACAAGAGGAGTTTAGGGCGGTGATCCAGGTTTCCGTTTAAGGACGAGAATAGTATTTTCTTTCGCAAATTAAAAAAGAGAAGAGGAAAGTTGCACCGTTGACCGATTAGCAAAGGATTCGAGGGAAGATACGAAGCATATGTACACGCCAAAGGGTTCGAGGGGCTTTAGTTTGGGCTGGTACTTGGTTGGCTCTAATTTTGTTACTGAAGATGTCTGGCTCGAAACCTGAATAATGCTCTTCATTTGCACTTTTTCCTGTCACTAAATGGCGGAATCTGTCGCCTGTTGGCCATGAGAAACATATACCTTCGGAGTTTATCAACTTTAGTGAATAAATCATTCCACGCATTGAATACAGCCATAGCTGAATATTGCCCGGCAGTTGCTACAAATAACCTAGTACCAGGAAAATGAAAAAACTGGAATATCACACAATCCTTTTCCATGATAGACCCTGAGAATAAAAAAAAAAAAGAAAAGCCACATGATACTTGGGAGGCCTCCTGAAGTTCTCATCCGAAGCAATTGCTTATATTTGCATAAATGTAGGACTCGACCAGAAGGTATGGTGTCGTTTCAAGCAGCAATTCAAAAAGGAAATTGCTTAAGAAAACAAAGTCAGAAATTTGAGTCCTTATAAGGATATAAAAACTCATACATTACATATTTAATCCTGCAAAAAGAGCCATTGTTCTAAAAAATACAGTGGACTCAGGCTCATACGAGGTTCACTATTCTGTCTAAATTGAACTCATCTCCAAAATGGAGAAAGGGGAAAAAATCTTTTAGGGTGTCTTCACAGGTTAACATGGCATACAATTTGTTAACTGTTCAAATGGGTTTAGGGTTTAAGGCATACAATTTGTTAACTGTTCAAATGGGCGAGGAGCTTAAGGGAATGAATTTAATGAATTACAAAGAAGAATAAACAATGTGGAATAAAGAGAAGTAAAGCATAAAAGAAGTTATCCTTAAATCAGGTTCATTCACTAAGGTTGCAGCTGCGAAGGTAGGGATGATCATACTTGATGTACTTGGTCCAGTATGATCGATACTTTGTCATAGCCAACTCCAGCCATGGTTTCATGTTGCCATTGTAGTGGATAACTGCTGCATGCTCAATTTCTCTCTTGTCTACACTTGGATTGTAGCCCAGGCCAAGGACGTGCCATGACTTCTCAAGTGGATGTGTCAGACCATAAAATGTAATCAACCCCGGAGGAAGTGTCCCAAGCTTCCACAACACTCTATCTTCATTCTGATAAACATTTAAACAAGGCAAGAAAAGCAAAAAAAAAAAAGAAAAAATCAGAACATACTCAGCCTTTTTAATGATAAAAGTCAGGATGATCCGAACAAGTTTACCTTGCTGCATCTCAGCACAATTCAGTTATGCCCAAGCATTAATTAACTTTGCAAATATACTTAAGCAACATGTCCGCCAGAATGATATATGATGATTCGCAAACTTGAGGTTTGACCCCTAACAACAAAATGATTTATCGGTATGCATGCATGAAAGGTGTGTGTGCGTGTATGAAGGAGTAAATAAATAACATGAATCAGAAGTATGGTAACTCACCATATTTTGCCACTTGTGGTATATGCCAGTGATATCCTTCTTTTTCCACTCCTTGAGATCAAACATATTCATTCCATACGCCCACCCACAAGCATTAGGATCAAAGTTTCGTGAAATATGAGGATTTGAGAAGTTTAGATACTTGTCAAAACGATGAAAGCTTTCACCACAAGTTTCCACTGCACCATTCACTTTACCATGGAGATCAATAGACCATAATCCAGTCAAGTCTTTCTGGACAACAATGTCATCATCGAGAAAGAGGATCTTATCTAACTTAGGGTAGACCTGTGGCAGATAGAACCGCAAGTGGTTAAGCATTGAGAGATACTTTGGATTTCGATACTTTAAGTTCGAAGATCCAGATGTGGTAGGATGATCTGCCTTGAAATAATACTCCTTCATTGCAGCAGTCTCAAGCTGCCGTAGGACAGGGCACTGGGATGAATTAAGCCACTTAAATTCATCAATATTTTCAACATGAATGGTAGCTTTTCCAGGGGGGTTCAACAGAAACCACATGTTCATTGCTCCAAAATTAAGTTTATCGGTAACAAGATGGAAAACATGTTTTGAAGGGTCCTGCAATATCACAGAGAAGAAAATTTAGTGAAGACTGACCTCGGCCTCAACTCTTAAAAATCCAAATCAGTTTCTCTTCTAGAAAATTATACAGGAAAAGACAGCTTATATCACCTTGGCATTCATGATAGTTGAGTTGACAACAACTGATGCAGCCAAGACATTATCAGAGAAGAGGGCATAATGGTAGAGATTTGGATTTTCCAAATTCTCACTTCTAGGGAACTCTCTCTTCTCGAGGGGAAGGAGATAGTATTCTATGGTCAAACGCATCGACAAGCAATGTATTGCATTGGGAATTGTTTTGGCAGCTAATTGACTGAGGAACGTGCTCTGCTTTTTCAAGCTCCTAACTTGTTCTTCTGATGTCTGAAGCATTGCTCTGAGCTTTCCAGTGACCAACTTGCAATCATACAATTGCTCTCTTGCTTTGGATAGAACTTTGCCCATTGCTTTCATTTTCTCAGGTGCACTAAACAGAGTTGCATGAGAACACGAAATAAGAAACTGTCAGAATCAGCAAGAGAAAAAACAGAGGGAAACATAGACAACAGCACATAGCCAATGAGATTAAAGATCCACTATCCTTTTACCTGTGAGGTAGATCAGCATCAGCTGTTGACTCTCCTAAGGCACGCTGACTCTCTTTGAGCCTAATCTTCAGTTCTTGTTGCAAGTCAAGCTTATTTTTCAACTTTGCTATACTTACATAAACCTTTGCCATTATAATTTGATCCCTCATCAAGCGCACTGTGGAATCAGAGTTATCATTCTCATTTTCTCTCCTCCATATATTGTATTTGCCCAGAACTGCAGAGTCCACAGCTTTTGATCGTTCAATGGCTGCATTTTCAAGTTTCACGGTAGCTTCATCATATTGTTGCACCAATTCAGCTGCTCGCTTCTGATGTCTATTATCTCTAAGTTGCTGCAAGATAAGTAAAATGCCTATTTATTATATAACTCTTTATAATAGTAAAGCACACAGTGCATCAAAAGATGATAATTACCCTTTGAAGTGTTTTAGCAGGTCTATCATGTGAATGATCATCTGCATGGAACAGGCAGATCAGCATGGAAAAAAAATTTACTGAGAGCAGTATGCATATATTTAACAGAGAAATAAATTACCATTTAGAAGCTTTCCCTCTTTAACTTGAGACATTTCTTGTTTCAAGTCTGTACCCTTTTGGTTTGACTTTGAACATATGAGAATCCAGTAAACATCAATCAATCAGCATTTAAATTTGAAAAAAGAATTCCAGAAAAATGCTGTACAAAACAGAAAAGTGTACAATAGATGAGATTGGTGAGGTGGAGCATAACCATGATCCTAACCTGAGAAGTAGCATCATCCTCGACCGAAGTCTCTACCCCAATAGCTTTCCATGATGCTGACAAATTGCCTTTTCTGAAAGAATCAAGACTAAGTGGCCCCAAATCAGCAGTGCTTGTAGTTACAACATCAATAACCTAGAATTGATTTCAGTGTAGCATCAGATGATAAAATATATTAAAATCTACCACTTGTTAGAGCAATAAACATTATTAACTCATATTGCATATTCTCCGACATGCATTACCTCTTTAGTGAGAAGGTTTTTGATAGATTGTAATGCCAGCCTTTCCCTCCAATCAACATTCTACAAAATTCAACCATTTTAAAATCATACATAGTGAGTATAAAGAAGCCATCAGAGTCTGTCATCTAAGATATAAGCAATGTTAATGGAAAAGCTTTTAAACAAGCAACCTGTTTGCTAAAATCACTTTGAACGCTACTTTGATCTGCACAAGAAACAATAATTGGCACAAAGATCAGATACGATAAACTAGAATACACCAAAATGTTTGAAACAGTGAAAAGGCAAGAAACTCTAGATGGATAAAAACACAACCGAATTCACATCTCAACTTTAGATTCACAATGCAATTCAACAAAATTTAGCTGAGCTCATTAGATGACGGCTTTGTTTCAATTAAAAATTTGCAGGATTTCTAGGTTAAAAGTTCTATCATAATGCAAATATTAGGTGAAGTGGAGCTACAAGTTTTAGCTAAAATTGAAACTTACTAGAAACACCGGTATTCACGTCAAAGGCTCTATAACTAATGTTAGACCATTTGATTTAAAAATTTCTAATCAAATCAGATGTCAGTAACTTTTTTTTTTAAATCACTAAACAAAGCTCAGAATCAATTAAAGACCAACGCACATTTCAATTTTTATCAGAGCGAAATAACGCATTTATCAATCAATCGAACAATGAATTAATTAATCATGATTCTCGAATTAATCTTCTGAAATGAAAAAACAAAATGAATATCAAAATCAAAGGCGAAGTGAGATCTGCTAAGAAGTACTTAAAAATGTGAGTGAAAATTAAGAGCAAAAACAAACCAGAAATATAAAGCCCTCGACCGACAAAGAAAACAAGTGGCGCAAGAACTGAGAAGAAAACGAGAATCGCGATAGGCAATCGAGATCCACAACTTCTGTTTCTATGTACGCCAACACTGGATAGTCCCCGCTTCAACGCCATTGGCGATCAAAGCCTAAGAACCACAATAACAACAACAAAATCACTCAGGAAAAGTGAAAAAAAAAAAAAGAAAATTGCAGAATAAAAAAGTGGAAGTAGATTTACGAGCAGCGAGGAGATCTCGTGAAACGAGAGCAGCAGATCCGTGTCGAAGCTAGTAGTAAGGAAAATCCATAGGAAAGCAAGCACCAGATAAAGCGTTAATCAAAGGCTTTTTTGCTGTCATATCATCTCTATCCACTATCTGACATAAAGATAGATGGCGATAATTATTTTTAAATTTTCTTTCTGTTAGCAACGTCGTTTAGCCGACACAGACGATGTCGTTCTCATTGCCGCTAAACACAGACGATGTCGTTTGCATTGCCAGTCTGGCCGGGGCCACCTGATTCTCCTCTAACTAATATACGCACAAGACTTGCGTTAAACTTACAACCACCGTCTATCTCTGCGTATGTTTTCTTTCAACCTGAAATTTGGTGGCAGCAGGGAAACACAAGGAAAGCTTTTTTTTCCTTTTTTTTTTTTTTTTTTTTTTTTTTGCATTTATCTGTTGATTTTACGGATAACCCATGGTGGGTTTTCAGTTAGCTTTTCATAATCTTTGTCTAATCCGAGCTTTTATTTTTTAATCATAACCTAATCAGAGCTATTAGTTTCCAATCATAGCCTAACTACCTAAGCAGTAGAAGTATGACCAAATTGGGCTATATTGACAAACTAAACAAAGCTCAAAAGCAACCATTAACAGCTTTGACAAATTCATGTAGGAAGACTTCTCAACCACCATCAAAGCTTAAATACCAGCAATAAATTTTGACATTTCAATACTACCACAAGGGTTCAAATATGCTACCCAGGCATCTCAAGCTGCATTAATGAATTTTACCAAGGATTAACAATTCAAGATTGGAGCAGCAACGATGCACCATAAAAGGTTGTCCCTTTCTAACACTACACAACTCTTACATCATCTTGATGAATTCTGATGGGATAAATTTGGAAGGAAATATATTGCACCATTTCCAATTCCCATGTCAACTCAACTATGTTAACTGTCTCATACATGTCAGACAGATGAAACCTTCTCACATACTAGCCACGTCTACGTAATCTCCAATCTGCATGCGTCAAGGAAAAAGTTAAGGACAAAGCTTGAACATAGGTAAGACAATGATTGATGCCACTACAAAGTGAGATTCTGCCTACCTCAAGCTAAGCCTTCTTTCACATAATAGCCACGTCTAAGTAATCTCCAATCTGCATATGTCAAGGAAAAAGTTAAAAGAAAAAGCTTGAGCATAGGTAAGACAATGACTGATGCCGCTACAAAGTGAGATTCCGCCTACCTCAAAGCTAAGTTCACCTAAGGTTTTGCTGTCATCTAATCGCCTCCCATTACCATAAGAAAAGGTCTTGCCAACCTGATGAAGCAATAAAATATATCACAATCCAAACTTTCTCATAGGAATAATTTATGTATCAACTACAGAACACATGCATTAGGACACCATCATATTCATAATGGCATCACTCTATATAGAAATTCTATTCAATCTTATTATAAATTTCACTAGATAATGCAAACAATTCAAAACTCATTCGATATAAGTATGACAAAGTTTGGCTTCACAATGTTGTGTAAAGCCAAGGTACAAATCAACCGAAATAAGCCATCATAGCAACAAACACACCCAGCAATCAGTTTTTTTTAACAAACAGCAAGTAGTTGAATATAAGTATACAACAGTGACCACAAACAAAGTGCAACAGCTTTAAGTTACACGTATATGTAAGGATGAAAGGAGGCAAAGTGGCAGACATAAGAAGAAGAGGGAAAAAGCCTAACCTCTCTCACCACAAAACGTCCATTCTTGTCAGGATATACAAATGCAAAGGACAGTCTTGCATCTCTTCTCCTTGCAGCTGGAGCTACCTCCTTCACCTGTACACAAATCAAGAGAATGAGGAAGAAAGAAGAGAATGTTGCAGACAAAACTACCAATAAAGTTCATAACAAGAAAGACAATTTAACAAACTATTTTAATATATCAACATACCAGGTCAGTTAACTCGCGAAGTGTAGCATCCTTCCATGTATAAATCTGAACCTCATCCTTGGGCTCCTTGCCTCTCACCGCAAAATCTTCTTTAGAATGATGACCACCAATCTGCAGAATTTTCAACAATTGACTCATAACGTTGAAGAAATTTTCTATATATAACAAGCAAACATGGCATCAGGACAAAACTAATATTCTACATCTAAAACGAGTTATTATGGCCTTTCCTTGAAAGTATACCTAACAACTATTAACAGATTCTAATACTTGGAAACTGTGCAAACTTCCACTATGTGACATAAGCATGTGACAGTGAAGTTTGCATAGGTATGAGTAGAAGAAACTAGTAACAGTACTATTAAAAAGAGATTATGAAGAATGGACTACAGAGCAACTTTATCCCCGGGCACATATTATTTGCTCACAGGGCCTTGTTCATCTTCCCAGAAAGATAATGGTTCACTAATGTACAAATGAATTTAGGAAATTGTTTAGCTATTAGAAAATATAAAGTGAGATATTACTCAAAGAGGAACTCTATGCTATTACATGCCTAAATCTCTTGCAGGTTACAAGTCTCGCAAGACCATCTTCCCAAGAAAGAAAAACTTCACCAAGTACCCTGCACATTGGTTTACTCCGTAAATGGATGTTACAAGTTCATAGGCAAAGATTTTAAATACCCTACATAAATCATAAAACTTCACCAACAATGTATACTTCTAAGGCTCGAACCAAAGTTAAAGTAATTGGCGAATCCATAATGATTAGTAGGTTACACCCAAGAAAGCAAAGGTAATGGCAAATCAACACTACACGGATCAAAAGCATCCCAAGAACAGAGAAGCTTGAACATGGCATCATCATATTACGCCAGGAAAATGAAGTCGGAGCTCGGGGAAATGAACATACCTTAGTGAAAACTCGAAGCAATAGAGGACATGTCTGCATTGCAAAAGGCAAGGCAAAAAAAAAAAAAAAAAGAAGAATAAATATTAAAAGATCTTAAACCAAACGATGGGCTTAATGATTAACATAATTAAAACCAAAAATGATAAAAAACAGTTTAGAAGAAAAAGTATAGCATTAAAAGCCAATTAAGTTCTGAAAACCCTAAGCAACAATTACAGATTTGCGATTCCAAATTTAAAAACTGATAAAGTTTTCGACAAACACGTAGATAGTGTGCTTTGAAACCCTAGAACTTCAAATGTTTAAGGATATAGATACAGAGAGAGAGAGAGGGTACCTTTTCGCGATCAACCGGCTCAAAGCGAGGGCGTGGGGGAGGAGGAAGACCTCTCGCCGAAGGTGGGAGTGGTCTCCCGCTCTGGCGTTTTTGTGCCTCTGCTGCTCCCGCCATCTTTCTTTCTCTCCCCAGAAGTTTCTGTTCGCAGTATGTGCTTCCTAGTTCCTGCTCCGATTATAAATAAGTAACGCCGCGCCGCGGTCATGTCACCTTTTTTCAGCCGATGAAAATGAAATTACAGACACTATCTGACTCTGTAAGGCTAGTTGGATTTGGGCCCATTTGGGTGAAGGTTTTAGGCCATAAATTTCTATATAATTCGCTGGGATTTTGGCCAACTGTTGTCCAACCGTGCTTTGCCTTCCAAGCCCATTACCGAATAAGCACTACTTGTCCGCCCAAGGTCAAGAGCTAGCGATCCCCAAGCCCAAGGTCTATGCTTACTGCTTCGATCCTCCATTATAGAAGGAAAACTGTTAAAATGTCTAGCCATTAGAGTACAGTTTGATTGGAAATGATTATATAAACAAATGACAACATGGTTCAAAATTCATGCAAAAAACACTGCTGGTTCATTTCACGGAAACAAAAGAGAGAACAGAGGCTGATCAGAAAGCCACCTCTACAGCATCTAGGCTAGGACAATGACACGCAGAAGTTTGCAGTTTGTGTTACGTTCTTGTTTACCACCCATGCATCTCTGTTTTGGTAAGCTTATTCAAGTAAGAAATCCAAAATTTTGACTATTATTGATTCGATCAATATTTAATAATTTGGATCCTGGGAATGCTTTCAGTCCATCTCCTTGAACCTACGTACATACATATACCCCACCCCACATGAGTTGCTGGCCCCTGAAATCCACAGTTTCATAACATACTAGTAGGCTGGCAAAAATGATTCATGATTGCAATGTTTCATTTCATAAACAACTACATATTTACGAGACTATAACCCATCATCAAATCCTTTCTATAATTTTTCTCTTGTTATTGAGAGATGTAATCTCATTTGGACTGATGTGACGAAATGATTGTTATATTATGTTCTAATCTGTCGCATCTATAACTGATAATATAGTATGAAAAAAGAGGATCTGTTCAATAACTTATGTACAGAACTGTATGGAGTAATTATTATTAAGTGAAAAATGAGGGGAAATTCAAAGGCAAGTAGTGAGTTTTCGAAAAGAGACAAACGATATGATTCCAAAGAAGTCCTTATTCGACTGAGCACTGGTTGTTACCTCTTCACTGCAAAGGGTTGAGACGCAGCATGCTTTAGTGGTAAGAGCTGAAAGCTCAGCTGATGGTGAAGGCCACGGCAAGAAAAGGAAAATGTGCATTAAAGATCTTTGCCCAACCATCAAAGCTTTCCAGAAATGGTAAGCTCTAACCACCACCATCACCTTCTTGTTCTTGCATTAGAGCCAAGGATAATAATTTTGTGGTTTGTCACTGTCTTTGAGGGTAGTTGCACTTGCACCCACTAAAAGGAAAAACTATCCTCAACTTTACTGTTCATTTCCCTTTACCCCTTTTTCTTTTTCAACTCTGTTCCTATTTGCTCCTCTTTGTAGTAAGATGTTGGTGATGGGAGGTGTTAATTTCTTTATTAGGGTTTCATGTGATGGAAAGAAAAAACAAATTTGGATAATTTATGGACTTTAGCAAGTTTGGTCCAACCCTGTGACACCTCATAAAGAAAAAAAAATTGTATAAAAAGAAGGTTTAGGACACTAATTTGGATTATTTATAGAACTGATCAATGACAACTGAGAGTTTTGGAACAAATTACAAAAGCCTTATTGTCTATTTGTCTTTAAGCCACAGGTATGGGTTTAAACACGTACTGCGTTATTGGCTTGAACCTAAACTTGGCCAAACAATACTGATCTTGTGAATCCATAATCATCTCTTCTAATTTTCCTTATTATTATTAAAGAAGTTATGCAATTCCCTTTTGCTAAGAAAGAAATTTTTTATAAAAAACGTTAAACTTTAATTTGATTCATATAATGATTAAAAAATAATATAAAATTTAAATATTAATACTTACGTTTATTATTTTATAAAAAAATCATTAAAAACTTCTTCTCTTTAGTGGGCGTACTTGTAAAAGCCATCAATTGGCGAATAGAATTTGTCTTAGCATTAGTGAATTTCACGCCCCAAAGGAAAAAAAGATTGAATCCCACAGAAAAGCATTATAGCATGAATAGGCCAAATTAAAGACAGGTGGGCGGGGCCAAGAGGGTACGTTTTCTTGTGATGGATATACCGCACTGCAGCAGCTCACATGATCCACCCATTGACGTCAACTTTTAAGCTGGGTGTGACGGATCATAGTCCTAGGTCATAAGGTGTTCCATTTTCTCCATTAAAGGCCAAGCTTTACTAAAATTCACAAATTCTAATTTCGTTAATTATATCAATTTATATAAATGACATTTTATAAATATTATCAAATTACATATGTATTCACTATACATATTATTAATATTTTTATTATAAATTAAAAATATTTTTCTTACTTTAATCATAAAAATTATCTAAGACTAATTAATCATTTGTTGTTACATGACATTCACATAAAAATTTTTAAAAAATAATTAATATTTTTATTTAACAAATAATATGTTTATAAAAAAATTATGCTGGTTATATTTCATATAAACAAGTTAAGTTAACAATATTAACATTTGGATTAAAACGATATATTATTTATAAATTAAATATATTTTTTCAAAATTTAAATATTAAAAGTGTAATTAACTCTAATTCAAATTACAACTAAGTTCTTTTATAATTTTTTATGCTTCGCTGGAATGTGGGATGAAAATTAATTAGAGGTGGTTGACGAAAGAGTTTGGACAGTTCAAATGAGATTATTTTTATTCGAAATTTGAATTAATCAAATTTGAGTCACTCTGAATTTGAATTAAAATAAAATTAATAATTAATTAATTTTACATTTTAAGCATTATATTAGAATTATTACAGATTTTGATTGGACAGATTTCAAATTCAAATTATTGTAAGTTTAAATTATGTTAAGTTTGGGTTATCTCAAGTTTAAATTTTTTATTTTTTTACCAATTTAAGTCACACGAATTTAGATTCGGATTCCGATTTTTATATGAAAATTTGAATTCGAGTTCATTTTATCATCTCTACAATTATTATTATTATTATTTGTTTTTTTTGCTTTCTGTGAAGGCAATTTATAAAATGAAAACAATATATATAATTAATAGCAAAATAAATAATTACGAGCTTAAGTTTTTAATCATCGCTTTTGGTTTCTTACACGCTTTGCTTAATGTTCTTATTAACATGTATCTATTAACCTTTTGCTAGTGTTTTTTTTCCAATAATGTTTCTAATTTCATGATATTTTTTCATATCATGAACTGTTTTCCATTTCTCGCAACGGTACTTACCTAATTACATTAATTTTCTTAAGTCATAATCATACCTTTGGGTCAACTTGCAGTGCTAAGCTAATTTTTGCCAATTATCCTCTCCAACAATTGTTGCAAATCCAATCACTCAAACTGATTAAAAAGGAAGCTTTTCAACTCCGAACAGCATTTTTACATGCAACGCAACAACAACCATTTTTTATTTTTTTGCTAAGCTTATTGCCCACTGGGAACCTATTATATCATTCTCCAAGGAACCAGAGACAGTGATGCTGACATTTCAACCATAAGTAAGGGGTAACAATTTTTGTTCTTCTGTTGGCAATGGTTAGGGCTTATTGGGGGAGAAAATTACATGAATAGATGGATTCTCATGTGACACATTTTTCGCATGCTTCTATTCGATATTGGAACTAAAGTCAAATTTACGACTGTAAATCATTAATATTGTATTTTATCAAATATAGAAATTTGTATCTTAAAAACAAGAGAACATAAGAATAGATTATAAATATTAAAATTTTAATTTCCGACTTGTTGGATGTCATATTTTAAATATATATGTTTAATTATAAATTTTTATTTAAATATTGATAAAATAAGAAAGTTTGAAATTAAATATCATAATTCGTGTATATGTATTCTATTCATGTCTTCTTAGAAATATGTAAACAAAAAAAAAAATTATAGTGTCAAATTTATTTTCACGTTAAATATAAAATTAATTTTTTAATTTTTAATAAATTCATATATAAATTTTATTAAAATTTTAAATTATATTATTTTTTATATATTTTTTATCGTATCATCTTATTTAAAATTAAAATTAACATGTATAGTTAAAATCTAAGAATTGTAGAGGGTAAGAGATAAGAAATGTGTACAAGGGGAAAGGGACTTGACTATGGCAAACGTAAGCAATGAGGATCCCACTAGAATTAATTACGGGTGCAAGTGCATGTTGGATTGATGAACCATTGGAAAACAGGAGCATCCCCATTTGCGAAACGCGTCTTGACACTTGACTCCACCCATCAACGACCCTCCCCTACTCTTTCTTTTTCTTTTACCATGTTATCTGTGCCATGCACAATCCTTTCTCTATTCTCATCACCATTTTTCCTTTTTACCTTGAAGCTTTGGATTTGGTTCAAAGTGGAAGAACATTTACATTTTCTTTGCTTTATTTGATATCCGAACGAAATATTGAAACATGAAAGCCTAACCTGGAACCTGGAACAATGGCGACCATTGGTACTCATAATCTTTAGAGAAGGAATCCATATCTTTTCTTGTAAGTATGATTCATCTAATCAAATTTTGTGAAAAGATGGAAAACCCAACCAAAATTTTAAGAGTTATATCTACATTTGCTTTCGAAAATGGCATTCTACTTGACACAATATGAAGTTAATTTTGTAAGTCAATTTGTTAGGATAAGTGCGCTTGAATCGATCAGTGCAGTAATGCAAGTGCAACAGCCTGGTTTTCCTTGTTTACAGCAGACAAATTTCTAGTATCTCCATGTTTATGAAAACGAAAACAAGGGAAAAAAAATAGTAAATGAATAGAGATTGTATGATCTCTATTATTGAACCCAACAACTCCATCAAATACTTCTTGTAGTCTTGTGTAAAAAATGATATTGTTTTGAACTCTGTTTTAACAGTCATGAATTGGGAATTCATTCATTGTCTTATTTATATTGGTGGAAACTGTAGGTGTGGATTATTAAAGGAAAAAAAAAAAAGGAAGAATAAGAAGTAATGGAAGAACCAAAGTTGGACCACACAAGTTTGTACTACTAGAGAAAGATCAATGGGAATTTTTTGCTTTTGGTGGTGGTGGTGAGGGAGGGAATAGTATAGAATTAACAGCTACCGTACAACATAAAAGGAATCTGAATTCTCTCAGTCTGTCATTTTCTCTACTTCCTAAAATATCTACTTCCATTTTGAAACTCTTTCAGAGGAGAGGGTGCAACAGCAAACTTGGGGGGAAGAAGCAAAAAAGGAAGCAGGATGACAGGGGAAACTATGCAAGGGTTTAATATTGGGTAATTGAATATTTTAAACCTTTAAGCTATAATTTCCCAATCAAGGAAAAGGCTATAGGAATTTACCATATTATAGGAACTGGTAGATCGTTTTCTTTTACGAGATTATGGAGGAAATTGTATTAGTTGATCATCACAACAAAATCTCTGTTTAGTATATCAATTGATCTTTTTTTTTAAATCTTAATCTACCCTTGAACACGTTTTTATGTTAATATTTTTTTTGGTTAAAAAAGATAGTATATATATAAACTCTTTTGAATTTGTAATTTTCAAACATCAATTTTAATATCATGTCAACCGATTCTAATGTCCCATTCAGCCGATTTGATCCCTTTTAGTATTGAGTATTCAACCAAAATCTTTTAAATGGTATTTCTTAGGGTTGAGGTAAGGGAAATTCTAAAGCAACATGCCGAATGTTAATATACCAAATTAAAACATCTGGGACACCCATAATTCGTTGTCCAACTTGAAATGCTGCAATTGATTGTCTCAGATAGTTTGCCACTTGCATGTAAAAGGAAAATTTTCGCACACCAAAGTTTACTTGCTTGCTTAACATTAGCTTCGAACTCATGTACCTCTAATCCAACCTACTGCAGATGATGAGAATGTGTGACCTAATTAACATGAACAAGTTTCTCAAGCACATGTAGCGCCTTTCGCATGTCAAAATTGATGTGCTTCAACACTAGATTCCATCAAACTATTTGGTTGCTTTTTTATTTCGCCTTCAATTTTACAGTTCAATTTGAAGTTAATTAATTAAGCTCCGAAAGCGATTAATCAGGATTGATTGATGTAGTATTGCTCTTTCATATTATTTTATAAATATTTGAACATTCCAATTGCCAAGTCTAACATTAAAGAGTGGTGTCATTTCGTCGTAAAAGTTAGAGGGAAATGCAATTGGAAATCCAATTTTCATGTTTGCTGTTTGTTTCTTAATATGGAATAGTGGAGGATTGTCAAAAGCAGGCACAATAGCAGACGTAGCATCTACTTATTCGGCCCCCATATGCACCCAAATTATATGCCCATCGGCTTCACTACGGTTCCATAAACTAACAAAAACTGTTCATCACTGTTCCAAATATCATAATACTCTAATTAATTTGCATTTGCAATTCATCAGTCTTTACTAAAATCTTAAAATTTTTTTTCATTTAGTATATTGTTCAGGTATTTTTGAGTTGGTTGGGGGCAAAATTTGTTGGAGGTTTAACTGGTGAATTTGTCAGATTTGTCAAAGGGAAAAAAAAAATCAAGAGAATGCTGGAGTTAAGATTCTGAAACACTCTAATATTTAAGTTAATAAAATATCCAAGATGACGAAATAAGGATGGCAACGGAACCGATCGATGCATGTTTTTACTCGTCTTGAATTTGATCTAATTTTATATCTGTAATAATTAAATCTAATTTGATATAATGTTGTTTTTAATTTTTTAATATTTGAACTTGAATCCGATTTAACTTGACATTATATAAAATTATATCTGATTTGATTCAAAATTAATAAAATATTATTTTTAATATAAATATAAAATTAAATAAATAATTAAAAAATAATTTTATTATATATATCAGATAGGGGCGAGGCAAGTTTGCTTAAAATCTGATTCTAAATTTTTTTACTGTTATCAACCTTACCTGAATTGAAACTTAATTTAAAAAAATAAAAAAATTAACTTTTAAAAATCAAATCGGATCGAAATTTGTTAAATACAAATTAGACTGTCATCTTTAGGAAGAAAGGAAGCAAGTATAGGAAAAAGAGAATTGAGTAATAGAGAGTAAAGTGGTTTGTCTATCAGGTAATATAGTTATTTACTATTTTATATTTTATAAATGATAACGTAATTATTTGTATAAATAATTTGCCTTAAAGCCATATATAAATTCATGCGTAAGTGTAAGTGACGTGACAATAAAAATTTAACATATATGTTTGTGAAAGATTTTACAGTTGCCGATCAAATATACCTATCAATTTGCTAAACGTCTCATCAAAAGATTTTCCTTTTTAATGTAAGAGCAAGTAATTAACTAAATATCAGAAATCAAGTATTGAACAAGATATCCATATTCATATATATATATATGACTATTCATTAATCATGTAATTACCGCTTTAATATCCTGTTAATTAGTTTTTATTTTATGTTATTAAAGTACGTGATAATCCAAAAAATTCAATATTTTTTGAAAAATATTAAAAAAATTTAAGATTTAATTCTCTTAATATTAAATGACTCATTAATTTAGTAGTAAGGAATAAGTCATAGAATTTTGAAATATTAAATTCAAGTCTTTGTAAGTTTGATTTAACTTTATATTGAATTTGTTATTTATTAGATATATAATTTGTTTGTTTGATAAATTATTTAATTTGTATGAAATTTCAAAAAATTTCCTCTTATTATATCGATGTAATAGATATTAGAGACTAAATCAATCCATCCGATGGTTGTTACGAATTATAGAGATTAAATCTAAATAAGTTGACCGTTCAATAGTTAATCAGAGATAGAGCGTGAATGGCAGGGTTGTTTTAGGCGCGTAGAGACAAAACTCTCACCACGATAGAAATAACTGAGGGAAAACCGAAGGAGCAAACAAGAGAAAGAAAAAAAAAATAGAGATAAATAGATATTTGCTAAAAATTAAAACTGAAAAGAGAATAAAAAGAAAGGAAGAAATATTAGGTTGTTTCTATTTTATTGCAAAAGAAGATCCAGTGAGCCTTCTCTGCTGCACATATCTATATTTACAGTTATATAGCCTTTTCACTACCCTCAGACCAAGCAATTATTTAGTTCCAATTAATTTTATCTTCTTCACCTCCATTTTTGTTTAACTCCAAAACCCCAACACCTCTCCAAAGAGCTCAGACAGATAATATTAAGTGTTTGGTACTATCCACTGTCCATTGTTCAAAAAAAAAAAAAAAAGAGAACTGAATAACAAAAAAGAAAATATGGGGAGAGGAAGAGTGGAGCTGAAGAGGATAGAAAACAAGATCAACAGACAGGTGACCTTCTCTAAGAGAAGAAATGGTTTGCTCAAGAAAGCTTATGAGCTTTCTGTGCTTTGTGATGCTGAGGTTGCCCTTATCATCTTCTCTAGTCGTGGCAAGCTCTACGAGTTTGGCAGCTCAGGGTATACATAATATATTAACATAAATTTATAATATATAATATGCTTCTTTCCCACTAGACTTAATTCTGTTTCTTTTGTGTTATATATAGTTGATTTTCTTCTTCATTTTCTCAGTGGGTTTCTGAGTTTTGCTCGACTAAGTTTCTATCGTATAGTATTTTTGTTCTTTCTTTCTCTCTTCTTTAGCATTAAATATTGGCTGTGTTAGTAGTATTTTTTTTTTTGTTTTGGTTTTTTGTCAAGTTTTCTGGGTTATTTACATGATTATAGCTACTTTGGTTATTGATTATGCATACCGTTTTCTTGTCATCCAGGTACTTTTTTTTTCTGTCATTCAAACTCCATCAAAATTTGCTTCTTTTTCTTTCTGTCTCTGGTTTTTACCTCTAACTTGTCTGCAAAAGAATTCTCTTTTACAAACATCTGACTCTATCGCTCTCAAATCTCTATTTTTTATGTTTTTTTTTTTATTGGGGGGCTTCTCATGGTTTTCCTGCTTGTGGATTCATGTTTTAAGAAACCTGAGTTTACCAGCTTATTTTCCAATGACAGATCGACACGTTTCATCTCATTTGCAAAAGAAACAAACCTTCCTTATCTCTCTTAACTGGATCTTGTTCTCTAGGTCTTTGGGCTTGTTAATGTTTTCACTGATCAGTGTTGGAACACTAGTACGAAAGGTGACTCTTTTCTTTCACCTGAAAAGCTGAAATAAAACAAAACCCCCCTATGAATTATGATGACTTTGCTCAGAATCCAATCAAGAGACTAGGTTTTTGGCTTATGCCCTCTGTGCAAGATCTAGGGTTTTTGCCTTATGACCTCTGTGCAAGACCTAGGGTTTTTACTTTTCTTTCTCCTTCTGTTCTCTCTTTGCTTTTTTCTTTTCTTCTTCAGAGAAAAGCATTAACTAGTGACAGTAAGTGGAGAAATCAGACTGATTCTTTGTCCTCACGTCTTTTGATCCTATTATCTTCTGGTTTTATCATAGTTTCTTCTTTTTCTGTCTTTTCCATCAACAATTAATTATATCAATGTTGTGGAGGTTGTAGGAACTGACAAAATCAAGCACACCCTTGTCCATAAACTTTCATTTTTTGCTTGATTATTGGGGTTTTCTTTGGATTTTTTTTTCCTTTTCTCTTCTCTTCTCCTTTCCTGAGATTCACATGTTTAGCTGATAGGCCACGCTGCTGCTTCTTGTAGATAGTTGAAGATAAAACATACTAGTCCTTGGAAAGCATGGCTAAGGGAGCTACAAGATCTCTTGTCCAGCTTTATGTTTAATACAATGTTTACATTTTCTTTTTGCAGCAAATTAGTTAAGTATTTAGTAGAGTGTTAATATATATTTATGGTCCATAATTTTCCTTGTAAATCATTCTATAATAACTTTCCAAATTCTTTTTTCAAATATAGTCCCTAAATTTTGCAATAGCTCTCCCAATATGCTGTTTGCAGTAAAGGTTGAACGTTGCAATTGCTTTCTAGTTCTGACAAAGAAGAAAAATTGGTTCATCATAGAGGTAATCAAATAAAACATTATAGCAAGAAAGGCTACAAAGGATGGAAAGCCACTTGCAGAAAATCAATGATCTGACTGTAGTGTGTATTTTTTTCTTCGGTTGGAGTAACAAAAAATAATTCTGATCCTACACTTACAAGTTTCAGTTTTTAAAAATCTTGTGCCTCATAAACATTGTGGGCTGCATTTTATGAATTTATTTTAGCTCTTCGTTTGTCACTTCTTGAATCCCTCCATCATGCCAGTTTATCATGGATTATGCTCAGAAATGCAAAACCTTAGACTGCTTGCTTTCACAATTTAATTATAGGTTGACAGTAACTTGGGCTTTCTTTTTGCAGTATGACCAAGACCCTTGAGCGATACCAACGTTGCTGCTTTACTCCTCAAGACAACAGCCTTGAACGTGAAACGCAGGTTTTTGGTCACCAAAATTTCTTTTACAAACTTCTGACTTGGTGTTTAGCAACATTACATGTTGCATAAACATTGTCTCTTTGATTATTAGCCTTTCATGTATCCCCAAAAGTCAAAATGGAATTTATTCTTTATTTTACTGCTTAACTTGTGCAAAGATATTCCTTTTTAATTATAAAAAGTGAGGCCCTAACTATATTTACAGTCTTACTGATTTATATATCTTCAATCAATAGTAATCTTGTCATGTCAAATGTTTCATCCTTCTAATACTAATCCTATCCCATCTTCCAAAATGCTTCATCTGGACAACTATGCTATTATAGCTTCGCTGACTGTTGAATCTTAATTCGCTAGGCACACTGTGATTGACAATTTATATCTTGTAGTGAATTCTTATTCTATTTTCAGTTACATATTTTTTGGATAATTGCCACCAAAATTTTCAAGTTCTTTGACAATATTTATCCTAGATGCTTATCTTTTGGGAATCATTATAAGTGAACTTGACTTTCTTCTTTAAGTTGTCTTTTTTTATCAATGCAGAGTTGGTACCAAGAGGTAACCAAGTTAAAGGCAAAATATGAAGCACTGCAACGCACTCAAAGGTTGTCATTTCTGAGTTCAAATCAGTGTAGTAGCCATATACCATAATTGTTAATTAGTTGCATTAATCCAGGTGGTTTCAATATATTTTATTGTCTAGTTGAAAAGTAATTATCACCATACCTACACTCATTCCGAATTCATTGTATGTTTATATCAGGCATTTGCTTGGAGAAAATCTTGGACCATTGAATGTGAAAGAGCTGCAAAACCTTGAGAAGCAGCTTGAAGGAGCTCTTGCACTGGCTAGACAAAGGAAGGTACTTGCACGTCTTTAATTAAGGATTTAGTCTGCCATAATTTTTTTATGAACGACGATTCTTAAAGAAATAACCCCTAATGTCTGTTTGTTTCACAAGGTTTCTTATACATGCATGTGGAGTAGTTCAGATTAAAAATCTTGAAGCTAGAGTATATATAATCATTTACTTGTGAATTTTCTGGCAGTCTACCATACTAATCGAAATGTGAAAAAACTCATTGTTTACTCACTCAAAAATTGTTCTAACAATTCTTTTTCTTTTCCCTTATTTTTTCTTAACTTCAGACACAGATTATGATAGAACAAATGGAAGACCTCCGCAAAAAGGTACTTAATCGAGTAACTTATTACTCCAAAATAATAGTGCAATTTTACCAAGAGATGATTCCCAAGGTTCTATTCCTTACAAACCTGGACCATTTGATGACTAGGGGTCTTGCCGGTCTACACTCCTCACCTATTCTTTTGGTTATTCCACAATTTTTTTTATCGTGAAGCTTTTTGTTACTACCTCAAATATTTCATCTTCCTTAATGCTAGTTATACTCCAACGCTTTGGTTTCAGAACTCATGGCCTAACAACTGTTTTTCATCTTTTGGCAGGAACGTCAGCTTGGAGACCTTAACAAACAGCTTAAAATCAAGGTTAACCTTGATTGCCAAACATCCGTTTTGCACATGAACTTTCATATATACTAGTAATCGACGACAGTATTATTTCTAATGTCACACACTGGTCAGTGGTCACTACTATAACCTAATATTTTTCTGTATTTTTGGTTTCAGCTTGAGGAAGAAGGACAAAGCCTCAAAACAATCCAGGGCTTATGGAGTTCTGGTGCTGCAGCTGAAAATAGCAACTTTCCTCTGCATCCTTCTCACACCCACCCTATGGAATGTGATCATGAACCTGTTTTGGAAATAGGGTAAGTGCTACATTGTCTACATCTGGAACAATATCAAGATACTTATATTCCACAAAACAGTCTATTAGCAAAATTCAAGATATAAAGTTAGTGTTTAGACAGGTAACTTCACCCAAATTCTCCCATTTCAAGCTTTAGAAACCAAGGTGGCCTTCCTTCTTCAATGCTTTCATAGCCACTTTTAATTGATTAAACTTGAATAGAACCATAGTTGGTTGTATGCTCATACCAACTATTGGAAGTTGGAACTAGATTTTTATGATAAATTTGACCATGAGAAAGAAAACCATGTCATTGCATATAATTCATCAATGTTAAATTTCATCACAGATGTTTTTTCATATTATTCTTTGTTTTAAAAAGTTGTTTCGAAATAACTGAAATCTGGAATAGGAAAGCTTCAGAATGACTTCTGCTGCTGCATCAGGTACCATCACTATGTTCAAGCTGAAGGATCTGCAGTCCCTAAAAGCATGGCTGGTGAGACCAACTTCATCCATGGATGGGTCATTTAAGCCCTCTCTAAATAAAAACATATAAATATAATATATATATATATATATATATTGTGATTTTGTCTCTTGTTTTTGTATGGGGATTTATAATGTTGCTAATATTTGTATTTATAAATAGACGGAAAGTGTACAACATAAAAATGCTTGGATCTTAAGAAGCATTCCTCCTCTCCTGGGACATGTGTGTGTGTGTGTGTGTGTGTGTGTATATATATATATATACACACACACACCTTTTTACTGTTTTTGTAACCCTTATATATAGGTTATTTCATTTAATTTTGGTGCAGTAGTGCTAAACATAGAATATGATTTTTGGTGTTGCAAATCTCTGTGAATTTGGTTTATATATATGATTATATATATACCTTTTTTTAACTTCTTTTCCTTAAAATCCATTTTGTTTTCCCTATTGAGTCTTGATTTCTCTTTGATATATTTTTTAGGTGACAATTTGTGTACTTATGTTCATATTCTTCATTTAGAGATAGCTTCGTATATAAGAATTTATGTTCTTCTTTTAGAATACACGACATTAATATTTTTGTTTATCAAAGTATTTCTATCTTATTTTGAAAAAGGTGAGTGTTTCAGATATTTGACTTAAGGGTAGTAACCTGTATATTGCTAGCGACTCGTTTATAGGGCGTCCATTCGAGTTGAAGGAGGCCTAAAACATGAATCTGGGAACCAACAGGCTTCACCATGGATTTCAAGTCAGGTCTCAACAGTGGTCTGAACCGGAGGAACCCAATATCGATGTGGGTTAAGACGATGCATGTTAACTTTTCAATCATTGCAGCCCAACATTTGGAGCGATTGAGCTAAAGATGTTGAAATTATATTATCAATCGTTAACTACCATATCAGATTTTCCACGACAAGATTAAAAAGAAATATGTGACTAACTGCCATGCGCATGAAAGCCAGCAGACCATAATCTTGTAGCAGTAAGCAACGTTTCTTGTGACTGCAAAATCATCCTTATAATCTTTGTCATAGCTAATAGATCTATAGATTTATCATTAGACATACATTAAAAAAATTATCATTAATCTTTTTTATTTAAATGTAATCGATCATCTAACTAAATCTATCACATTTAAAGAGAAATCTCAAAATTAACTTAAGTATATTTAAATAGTATATTCTAATTTACTAAATCAAATTTAAGTTCAAAAATACGATTACGCGTAAGAAAAGTTATGGCATCTTCGTAGCGCTCAACTAAAAGATGATATCAATTTGATTTTAAATTATTTAAGCCTTAAAATATATTTATAATTTACTAACTAATTTTAATATTAAAAAATTTTCTTAAATTACTTCAATATGTTAGTAATAATTTCAGAATACTTTCTCACCTCTAGAGTATTTAAAGAGACTATTTGTCACGCTTTAAAAAGATACAATCGTCAGATTAATTTAATTGTGGTTTTAGAAATAAATATCTATAAATAAGGTTTATAGTAAAAAATATCCTCCAATCTATTGGTAGGATTTGTGGAAAAAGATAGAAAATGTTATTTTATTATTTTTTTGAAAACTTGATCTTTTAGGAAATTATAAGGCTTTTCAATATGTTGGTAAAACCTTATTTTGGAAAAATATTGACATTCAAATATGTTAGTAAAGCTTTTTATTTATATATTTATTGAAATAAATAAAATTATAAAGTTTTTCAATATGTTGGTAAAAACCTATTTTTTAAAAAATAATTGCCTTCCAATCTATTAGTAAGGCTTTTATTTAAAATTTTATTTTGTTGTATAAATTTTTTTCATAAGAATACTAAAAATAATAGACAAATAAATAAATGAATAAATAAGTAAATAAAATAACATATAAAGAAAAGCAAAATTACCTGCAGTTGGCTCGGCTTGGCAATTGAGGAAGGCGGCTATAGGCACAAATTAACTTGAGCGGCTTGGAACTCAACTTTCGAAACAACTTGGCTTAGTGCAGCAAATAAAGAGTGGGTCAAAATTGGGTTGCACTAAAGGTCGAATGCGGGTGTGGTAAAACACACTGACTTTGATGCCTTTAAGAGTTTTAAAACGGCATTGTATTGGGTTATTATAAAAACTCAAATTTCAAGATTTTCTTCATAAATGCTTGAGTATGCCTTTCTTTCTAATATGGTTATTCTTCTATCTTCTCCAACTGATTCATGGGTGCCCAAAAATTGGTGAATAAATCTCAAAAGTCAGTAAAGAATTTTCATAATCTGACGAGATTCTTTGACGCCAGTGTTGGAAGCTTTAACTTCTCGTCGAAAAATTCAAAGAATTTTTTAGAAACCCAACAAATTGTCTAGAAAACTAAACCCAAAAATCTCTAGAATGCAAAACCCTATAGAAATTCAAACCTAAAAACACCAAATCCCAATTTTAAAAAATTTAAACAAATCAAACCTAGAACCTAAAACATCTTGATTTCTAAACAAATTTCTCTATTTTCTCTCAAGAGTTTCTATATAATCTTTTTCTCCCATTTTTCTTCCTTTATGTGTGGTTGATTGGTGTTTATATAGGGCTGTCTGCTAAAAATTTTAGGGATTTGCATTGAATGAAAAATGTTGCAGATCTGATTATGCTCTAAATTGATTTTCTCTTGATTCTCTTTAAAACCAGTTTAATTAATTTCTAGAATTGCCTCGATTTTCTTTGATTTTCAAAATCCCTCAAAATTTCTTAAATTAAATCTGATTTTGATTCCCTGATTTGGTTTCTTTTTAACCTTTTTTTAATATTTGAAGAAATCATGTTTTAATCTTAATTACTGAGATCATCATTGATTGGTGCTCAAATTACTCCACAAATTTTCTTGACATGATTTATGATAAAAATTTAAAATCATATATATAAAAGATAAAAATATAAAAAAAGATAACTAAATAAATAAGACAAATAAGATATAAAAAAGAAACTTAAAAAATTGGATAATTGGGCTTAGATCAAATTTGGACCCAATTAGTTTGAGACCTAGACTAAATAGAGTGTCTAAAGTTGTCTCTCTTTGCATAGTTTTTGTGAAACAGGAATTATGCAAAAATATAGATACCCATTACGTCCGGGCCAAAATTATTCAACTTTTTTTTAAAAGGCTTTTTGAAAATGAATGCACATAACTTTTTTAAAAAATTAAGGACAACACCTAAAGGTTTTGACAATTATTCCCAATGGTTTTATAGATCACGTCCAAAAAACTTGAAGATTAAGCTCGAATTTCTTATAAATCATTCATTGAAAAATGCTCCTTTAAATAAAAGTTACACAACTTAAAAAAAAAAAAAAACACTTAAAAGGCTTAAAAGATCATGCTCAAAGAACTTGGAGACTACATTCGGAGGCATTTGAGATTACATCCAAAGGTCTTACAAATTTTGATTCTAAAACAGATTTAACTCGAAAGACTTACGAATCTTACTCGAAGGACTTAGAGATTATGCCCAGGGTCTTACAAATCTCGATTTAAAATAGATTCAGCTCATAAGACTTACAAATATTTCTTAGAGGATTTAGAGATTATGCTCGAAAGTTTTATAAATTTTGACTTTAAAATAGATTCAGCTCGTAAGACTTACAAATATTGTTTGAAAGATTTGAAGATTATAATTTAGCTCATAAAACTTACAAATATTACCCAGAAGACTTTGAGATTATGCCCGAAGGTCTTACAAATCTCAACTTTAAAATAGATTCAGCTTGAAAGACTTATGAATCTTGTCTGAAGGTCTTAACAAATCAAACTTCGAAAAAGCTTCTTTAAAAAGAAATGGATATTTGCAAGTTTTAAAAAAAATGCTCGAAAGTCTTATAGATCTTGCTTTGAGGACTTTAAAAAGAGTTTTATAATTTTAAAAATGTACTTGAAGTTTTTAATAAGAATTACTCAGAGTTTTTAGGACTGATACTAAAAATTTTAATAAATATACCCTGAGATAAAATCTTGTTTGATCAAAATTTTCCTTTTTATCAAAAGTTTAAGTCAACATCTCTTTTCCTGGACAAATATGAATGCAACATATGACATAGATGTGATGCATACAATGTATTAAATGCAATGAATGAAATGCATGAATTCTATACCAAATGTTTTTAATTGTGGTAATAGGATTCTTGAAACCTTTGTTTCCTTCCATCTTTCCATGACATAGCTCCTGAATTAGTTGACAAGTTCTTTCATGCCCTAAAGCAAACATTCTCAATATTTTCATTCTTGAAAACCATTCTTCTTGTATAATGAGTTGTTTCAATATCGATCCCTTGCATTTGATCTTTTTTTACCCTAAAAGGTCTCTTATAGCATTTACTTATCTTCCACCACAAGTATTAAGATCCACCACGTTTTGAACATTTCTCAAAACTTTCCTAGAATAGCAATAGAAATTGCCCTACACAACTTTCTTTTGCATGTAATCAAATATCTTAAAAAGTGGTGATTACTACCTCGAATGAGGATGATAAATTATAACTTTAGTCTTCCAAAATGATGCAATGGTTTGGCACATAAAAAAAGGATCTTAATTACAAAAGGAATTTGGCCACTAAATAAGAATAAGAAAATCTTTTCATCTGGGCTCACAATTGAAAATAGTCTTTTAAAGTGCAATCTATTTTGGCACTCTTTTCAGTTCTTAGTATGTGATATTTTAATAAATGTCAAGACCAACTATGTCAGGCTTAAAATTTCAGGTCTAAAAAAAAAATAAGGCCTAAAATTTAGAGGTAACCTTCATAGTGAGATCGATCTCATTAGGCTTTTAAAAAACAGTCTCCTTGGTGCTATATGAAAAGGCATGAGTTGCTTTTAGAGTTTCAATCTTACTCTAGACTACCCTTTCGGGTTTTCATCTTAGAACTTCATTTTCTTTTCTTTTCTTTTTTTATATTTCATCATGCATTTGAGCTTTCAAAATTAATCAAAAATAAAAAAGTAATGGTGATTTCTTAAAGAAAAACTCTTTAATTTAGATATCCACATTTAATCAAAATGGACTTTTTAAAGTATGTAACATGGGCCGGGGTTTAGGTTTTGAAAAAAAAAATAAATAGGCCCAAAAATGTATTTACAGGTAATCAAACCAAGGATCATTTCTTTTCCAGAGATATCTTTCTTTTCTTAAAACATATCTTTTCACTTTATCTTTTTTTCTTTTTTTTTTGTATGAGTTCAAAATTTTTTAAACTCATCTTATTTCAAGCTTGCTCTTTAATATAAAGCATTATTTTCTAACCCTCAA